ACTGCACTTAAACAAGACACAACCAGGATTGATGAGATCGGGAAGCTTGAAGAAGAAGACTTTCCTACTGCCAGGCTTCAGAAGTTAGAAGCAGAGTTGAAGAAAGAAAAAGATATTGCCGTCAAGTTTAAGCAAATCAATGATCACCTCAACCAAATCGAGTGTCAAATTAAAACTGTACGATCATACGTAAAAACATCAGTAACAGATGTGCAGACAAAAGTGGAAGAAGTCAGGTCAGACGTCAAAACAGCAGTAACAGATGTGCAGACAAAAGTGGAAGAAGTCAGGTCAGACGTCAAAACAGCAGTAACAGATGTGCAGACAAAAGTGGAAGAAGTCAGGTCAGACGTACAAACGACAGTAACAGATGTACAGACGAAAGTAGAAGAAGTGAAAACGGCAGCAACAGAAGTCCAGACAAAATTGGAAAATGTCGAATCAGAGGTGAAAATTGCAACAAGTGAGCTAGCGAAAATAAAAGCAAACGTCGATGACGTAAAACAAGCAGTTCAGTCCGGAATCACCAAAGGTATGTAAAGCGTTGGTTTCTTTGCAAAACACTGGCTGATCCGTCATTCATCTTCCTTGGTTAGAAACTGCCTTGCTAGTTGCGTATGTGAAGGTTCCCAAAGCAAATTCCTATTCATATTTTTATAATGGACAGTTGTTGGCAAGGTAATTCCACGTCTATTTAACATTGATTTATATTAAGATTTAGCGATATATCGCTATGGTGAGGCAGTAAATCCAGTACATTTACCATAAAATAACAATCGGTTACACACACAGATTGTGTGAGCCCCCAATGCTGAATTAACGATACCATAGGCCCGGCGTAGTCAATCGAACGAAACCGAACCAAAAATCAATCGAACACAATCCGTCGGATTGTTGTTCGATTGTTTCTGTAATCGAATATAATCGAACTGGAACTTTTCGGTGAGTTCGATTACCGAGCTCAATCGAACCAATCGAACTCAATCGATGCGACTAGTTCGATTTTGTTCGGCAGAAAGACAAAACGCAGCCAGTTTTAATTGAATCGGAAAGATCATCCCTCTGGGATGTATGTGCAGCAGTTTGAAAACAAAAAATATTTCAATTAACCCGGACCTAACTAAATCTTTATTGTTAAAGTTATTAGAAATCGCTAAATTCACAACTAACACTGGAAAACATGAATGGCACAGTAAAACCACGTAAAGCGTCTTTCCCAGGACAATACCGACTGGGTGCTGAACACAAGCAACAGTGTATAGCATATACAAAATAGTCACTACTACCAGTGTTCTCATTACCTCAAAGTAAATGTCCATTAAAACTACAAGCGGCGTCTGTAAAAAGCTGTTGCACAACAGAAGCAATACAAGCTTACCTTATGGCGCTACAATGCTTCATTAAAAGAAAAAGAAATCCAACATCGACGGCCAAAGAGCACTGTCACGTTTTCTGCCCTCTGTAACATCTTTGCGTACTCGTGTTTGAAATTGAAGCCAATTGATACATAACTTATTTGAACGCAAAGCCTTGTTTGAAACCAGATGAAACTGGTTTATGTTCGATTGTTGCAGTGTTCGATTAGGTTCGATTGTTGAACTCTCCCATTTCCGAACGCTCGATTGTGTTCGATTGGCAAAATTTTGGGGAGAGTTCGATTAAGTTCAATTACCGACCCCAGTCGAAGACAATCGAACGACTGGAGTTCGATTGGGTTCGATTACCGAACGTTCGATTGACCACGCCGGGCATTGGGAACTCACGCTCTTATTTGTAAACTGCAAATGGAAATTATATGCCGGATAAAAACTTATCTGTGGAGTGTTCAGTTCTTGAATCTGCTGCGAAGCAGAGTGAAATTGAAATTGCCGTACGATGCAAAAAACGAATGTTACGATGTTTGTGTCAGCGCTTTGTCCGTAAATTTCCCAATGCTTTATTTTATGTGGTTTGTCTTGCATATCACTGTTGGGTCACTTGGTTGTCATTATCGTCTCGCGTTTCACTGTTGGTTCATTAATTAACGTACAGTAATTAGCGCGCGTTGTCAATAAATTAATAACCAACAGTGAAAAGCGAGATGATAATAACAACCAAGTGACATCAACAGTTAAATGCGAGACAAACCACATAAAATAAAGCATTGTGAAATTTACGGACAAAGCTCCAACACAAACATCGTTTTTGCATCGTAGAAACAACTTCCATGTCACATTTCTCCGCAACAGATTCAAGAACAGAACAGGTAAGTTTTTATCTCTAATTTAATTTCCATTTGCAGTTTACAAATACGAGCGTGGGTTACCTATGCAATGCCAGCAACACCAGCAAAACTGCCCTCGAACAAACGCCGCACCCAACCAGAAGAAAGCAGCGTTTATCCGAGTTTTATACGCAAATATCTCGGTACAACCTTTAAACCTACACCAGTAGCAGTTACGAATCTGTCTCAGCAAAAAAGCGACACATCGAAACCTTTTACAAACATACCCATCTTTCTGTTTTGCATAATATTTATTTATTTATGTGTCTATTTATTTATTTATTTAGTTTTCATCACAGGGTCCACAGGTTGCAAAATATACGCTTGAATACAATTTATTTACATATGTTATTTATTTTCGTTTGAGTAAGGGAGATCGAGAAGACGACTGTGATGAGGAACGAGGGAGGAAGCCCCAATCTCTCCTCCTTTTTGCCATCCTGATTAATTTGCATAATTTCACTTTTTCGCTCGCGCCGCGCGTGGCAAGAAGGACTACTGTTCGCAGTCTCCTTATATGATTTGTTTTCCCAATACACGTCACGTGATTTTACTCTAAAGAACTGTGTCTTCTAATTTTCTTCTTCTTCACACGCATGATGATGTATTTAAGGTGACTCGACCCAGTTTTTTTTTTTTTTTTTTTTTTTTTTTTGGGGTACCATCCTACTTTGAAGCTCTCTGGTATCCCCACCTTTACTTTTATCGTAAGTCTAACACATAGAATGGATAACATATAGATCAATCTACAATATAACATAAAATTTTTGGCGATCGGAGTAAATGTCACGTGGTTATAATGCCACGCCCCTTTGAGGTCTGAGTCGAAAATCGGCTGTTGCTGGCATTTTTTTGTGAAAATCTCTCGGCTACACATAGTGCGCATTAGTGCCTTGCGCTGAACAGAGTTTCACCAAAATCGCAAAGACCCAATTCGAGAAATTCAGTGGTTTCCAAATTTAGGTCATAATTTATGCGAAAATGATAAGCAAACTTTACACGGATTATATCTAACAAGAAGTCGCCCAAAGGCGTTTACGCGGGATTTGTGGGTTTAGGAAAGAATTACGGGTATGTTGGATGGCAATGGAAAGTTGTGTAGTGTATGCAACAAATGTGTGCTGGAGAGACGGAGATGTTCTGTTAAGGACTAATACACTAGAAGATGAGTTACACACAAGGGTTCCTTTGCTACTCAAAACAAAACTTACATCAATATTACCACCATATATCTTAGTAGTATGGGGTAGTTCACTAAAATTTGCATTCCTTTACTAATGTCCTCAAAAAATGCGCTTCCACATTTAACAATAGCATGTAATGTATCATACTTCCAATCACTACAGGGATTCAAGGAAGTGCTCTAGGGAAAACTTCAGGGAGCCCTTTGGGCTCCCCAAGCATTTTTAGCTGGGGTGCCCGGGCCTTCAAGTTGGTCGCCCAAATTAATAAATCAATGAGCTGTTAGTTATTAAAAATTAAACAAATTATTTTCTTAACAAGTCAAGCAGAAGTCTGTGAATATTTTTTTCATGAAAAATCACATCCCTTTGACCTCCTGAGCGTGCGAAAAAAAAAAAAAAAACCGGCACGTTGTCATATGAAAGTAAGTTTTCGCGCCATATGAGAAACATTGACAACGCCGCCGAACATTTCATGTTTTGTAAATGGCAAAGTAAATTTGGGGTCAAAAATAAGGGCACTATTCTTTTTACTAATCATTTTGATTTAGGTTGAAAAGAAAATTCGCTTATTAAGATTGACTGAGATCCCGTGGTGATTTCCAGGAAAACTGTTATGACTTCAACGAAACCGCGGCGCCCCCGGGGGGTTACTTGCGTTAATTTTTGCGGGGTATGTGCCGCTGGCCTCTCAGAGCCCCTACCCCATTATAGTCTTTTCTGTGGCCAATTGTAGACTCCACATAAGTCACTCTTGGGCAAATATGTAATTTTTGCGATCCCAGCTTAGTCACTTTCTATTTACGTATCTAACTTATCAATCCTTTAAATAGGTCATCAAAAAATGAATTGACCCATTTTTTTAATAAATTGAATGAAGAACACTTTACTTTTCACCTACAGTACAAATATCCTGATACGTTTACTAACCGTAAATATGAACATGAACAGCTCTCTTACCCCAAAAATCCGAAAATGTGCGACTCCATTCTAGTAACTCTTTTGAAAATGCGACCCCATTAATAGTCAATCCAGTCGTGAAAATGCCACCCCATCCAGCGGCACATCCCCATTAGCCTCTTTATAAGGAAGTGCCCCCCCCCGCCCTAAAACCATTATCCCTTTTGAGTAGATTATCTTGTTGTAAAGTCGTCGTTTACGCGCAAAAGGGAAGTATTTTCTTTCTATATTACCGGTCAAATGTTCAGGAGAAATGTAGATTCGGTTAGCTTTTGCATATTTATTTTTAGTACGTGATACGTAATGCCTTGTCACGACACGAAAGACAATGCGGGATTTATACCCGATTCTAGAACAATCACAATTACAATAGTCGTCTCTTTTCTTTTTATGCATCGTATTTTACTGGAATAACAATCTTAGTTATGTTTTAACCTCGCAGACACAGCAGTAAAAAAAGGTAAAAATATTTAAAGAACATAAAAGACCGACCCCTTGTTTATTCAGCGATTTTTCAAAATACAAAACTATCGTTTTGCGTCGCCGACCGTACTTCACGCCTGTCAGAGCAAAAGTAACAATTTGTTTTGAAAAACTAACTAATGAACAATCGTAATTTGAAGAAAAAATTTCAATGTTATTATGAAAAGCTGTTACTATCGAAAACTGTGCAGCTTGTCACGTTCATAGTCAAGGATTATGTTACATGTGAATTCACGTGAAACAACCTTTGAACATCAACGCGTGCCCGCTACCCGATTTAACAACATTTTCCTAAAGCTTTTTGATAGACATGCTACTTATTGCTACTTACAAGTCGACCTCAAGAGTTTCTTAGCGAGCGGAGCGTTCTTTTTAGGCCGCGAAGCCACCGAGAGAGCTACGATTTCGCAAGTAATAAATTCTAGACATTCTTAGCTTTTTGACTGTAACTCAACAAGAAACCAACACCAGCAAGTCGCCCGGCTGGGCCACCTAGACAATATTTTCAGTCGCCCGAGGCCAAGTCTTGCGCCGTATTAAGAGCACGGCCTTGAGTCTTCGTCCTCCTCTACACCGTGACCTTACTTTTCCCTCCTTTGCTGACGCAGTATCTTTTTTCGGCTTGTGCAATCCAGCCTGACTTGCACGTGCTTCGACGTTTCCGCCAATAAAAATCCACACAATTTTTCGGGACGGGCACGGGATACGGGAAAGTTAAAAAACAAGGCAATTTTTGACTCCCAAGACGACGAAAGGAATGTGCTACCGAATTTTAGACGCTGGCTGACTACGTCATCCCGCGTAATAAACCAAGAGATTTATCCCTTTATTTTGGGCATCGTTATAACAGATGGGTCCTTGCAAGTCAGCAAAACGCTTTAGAGCCTTGTAAATGCGCGCGATTTCGAGCAAAGCAAACATATAGAAATTATAGTTTTCGCTATTTGTTGACGTTTGTCAGCGTTTGAGAGTCCTTCTCACGAAAAAAGCATTTTCTTAAAAATTCGTAGCTTTTTTTCCTTCAAATTTTTTCAGGGCCACAATAAATTAACTAACTACCCGGACTCTGAATTTCATGGTCATTGAAAAACTGTGACATTATCTTCTATAAGCTCAAACTTGAGTAAACATTGAAGATTTTTAGCGTTTTGGCTGAGTTTGTGCTTTGGGAGTTGTCTATTGTTTCTAGTCTGTCATTATACAGCATTCTTGTTCAGCACGCGTGCAATGACCACGCTTGGCTGACCTGCGAATGCTCACCGAGATATTCCCGTCACGAGTTGGTTTAATTATTGGCTTGCATTAAACCTGTGAAAAAATGATATTTTTGTAATAGTAAGTAGACTTAGTGTGTAGCACTTCTTGATTTTTTTGCAAAGACACAAGAAGCACGAGAATTGATTAAAAATTGTTAGTTAAACCTCTATGTATCACGCGATGGCCTGTCTCACTGTACCAAAATTATAATATCTCGGTGAGCATTCGGAAGTCAGCCAAGCGCGGTGATTGCACGCGTGCTGAACAAGAATGCTGTATCATGACAGACTAGAAACAATAGACAACTCCCAAAGCACAAACTCAGCCAAAACGCTAAAAATCTTCAATGTTTACTCAATTTTGGGCTTATAGAAGATAATGCACAGTTTTTCAATGACCATGAAATTCAGAGTCCGGGTAGTTAGTTAATCAATTGTGGCCCTGAAAAGATTTGAAGGAAAAAAAGCTACGAATTTTTAAGAAAATGCTTTTTTCGTGAGAAGGACTCTCAAACGCTGACAAACGTCAACAAATAGCGAAAACTATAATTTCTATATGTTTGCTTTGCTCGAAATCGCGCGCATTTACAAGGCCCTAAAGCGTTTTGCTGACTTGCAAGGACCCATCTGTTATAACGATGCCCAAAATAAAGAGATGAATCTCATAGTTTATTATATATAATCCGTATAAAGTTTGCTTATCATTTTCGCATGAATTATGACCTAAATTTGAAAACCACTGAATTTCTCGAATTGGGTCTTTGCGATTTTGGTGAAACTCTGTTCAGCCCAAGGCTCTAATGCGCACTACGTGTAGCCGAGAGATTTTCACAAAAAAATGCCGGCAACAGCCGATTTTCGACTCAGACCTCAAAGGGGGGTGGCATTATAACCACGTGACATTTACTCCGATGGCCAAACATTTTATGTTATATTGTAGATTGATCTATATGTTATCCATTCTATGTGTTAGACTTACGATAAAAGTAAAGGTGGGGATACCAGAGAGCTTCAAAGTAGGATGGTACCCCCCCCAAAAAAACTGGGTCATCGAGTCACCTTAAAGAGAAGAAACAAATTCCCTTGAAAAATCACATGAACTACAATGGGGAACAATATAAATGCTAAAAAAGACCTTTTATTAAAGAATGACTGTACAGGTGTAGACGACTGAACGTTCACCCTAGCCTGGAGCGTATAACTCAGTCTTCTCAATACTATTGTTAATTACAACTACAAAGTTCTGATTATTCTCTGCAATGTAATTTGTTTGTGGTCTCTTCAGATTTATTTGTGCCCGACTCCTCCATACCTGATGAATTACCAAATTTTGTTGGCCGCGGCAAAGAATGCAAAGCAATAGAACATCATTTAACAGATGAAGTTACTCGACTGGTTAATGTCTGGGGTCCACCTGGATTTGGAAAAACATCAGTGGCCATCAGGGTGGCGCATCACTTACAAGAGAAGAATTTTCCAGTTTACTTCGCTTCCGTTCGTGGAGTGGAAAGTATGGAGGATTTAGTGTCAAAGCTGCTCAGGATGTTCGTAGACGATAAACAAGTGCACCATATTGCCTCGTCTGACCTCGTCATTCAATGTTTACAGCAAATTCGAAATCCTTTGGTCTTAATATTAGATAACGCCGATGATTTATTAGAATCTGAAGATGCTAAACGGAAACAGCACGTGCTCCGATTCATTGAGGAGATCCTTACTCACTGCAAACACATCAAGCTTCTCTTAACTACTCGCGAAAGTCTCGACTACTTAAGCCACAAGCTTCCCATCTTTTTGGAGAAAATTAACGTATTAGATGAAATTTCGTCAGCGCATCTGGTAAGGCTGTTGTTACCAGATGCATCTGAAGGTGACTGCAAATACGTAGTGAAGGAATGTGGAAACGTTCCTATGTCCATGCGACTAATGTGCAGCATCATTAAGGAAGCAAACATATCCATAAATGTGCTTTTAGATGAACTAAACAATTCAACTATAGTTGAAGTTTTGAATAGTGAAAGCGTTCCTGACGATTTCCGGCTGAAATCTGTAATTAACACATCGTTTAAAAGGCTCATGATTCGCGAAAGAGACGCGTTTGTTTCGCTTTCTGTTTTTCCTGAGTGGTTTGGAATGGAGGAAGCTCAAGCCATATTGAATGTAAAATCGGAGGTTAAAACCAAACAAATCATTCGATCATTGGAGAGAAAGTCCCTTATACGTTGTGGAGAAAATTTTAGCCGTTTTACGATCCATTCACTTTTACGGTCCTTTATTAAGGAGGAAGTAAAGAATGACGAAGCGGTTGAAGCTGTATTTCTAGATGCACAGCTTCAGTTTTACGACTATTACATTTCTAGGTGTAAAGTTGCTAATAAAAACTTTCTGATAGGACGCTATACAAACGCCTTCAGAAGCTTCCTTGACCAGCGTGAGTGCATCATTTCATCCCTTTCTAATGGACCTGGAAATGACAGGACCTACAACAAGGTTGTAGACTTGTTATCTGAGGCAAAATCATTTCTCTATGTTGCACTGCATGGTGAAAAAATGTTATTTGAGCGCCTTTATGACATAGCAATAGAAGAAGCAAAAAGAAGGGAAAAGGACTGCGACAAAAAAACGTTACTCTCTGCCAAAGAATTTCCTCTTAGTCAGTGGTATCAGCCAGACACTGCTAAAAGCTACTTCTGGCTTGGTAGAGCGCAGCGTGAAGCGGGAGATCTGACAACAGCATTGGAGTCTCTACAGTTAAGCTTACGATTAAGAAAAGAACTGTTAGGAGATCATCCTGATACAGCCGAAGCCTTTCATGAGCAAGGCGTTATCCATACTTTTATGGGTGATTACAAGTCAGCTGTTGAGGCATTCCAAAAGGCAACAGATATAAATTTAAATTTCCGCGGAGATCACATATTTACAGCACACAGCTACCACAGCCTTGGTGTAGCGCGGCATAACATGGCAGACTTAACAGGAGCATTGGATTCGTTTCAAAGAGCAGCAAACATGAGATCAAAGCTGCTTGGTGATCACGAAGACACTGCAAGCAGCAACTACAAGATTGGTTTAGTGCAGCGTGACATGGGAGACCTTAAAGGGGCTTTGGATTCTTTACAAAAAGCAGCAAACATCAGATCAAGAGTGCTTGGTGATCACAAAGACACGGCACTTAGCTACTATTGGCTTGGTTCAGTGCAGCGTGACATGGGAGATCTTAAAGGAGCTTTAGAATCTTTACAAAGAGCAGCAAACATCAGATCAAGTGTGCTTGGTGATCACGAAGACACGGCAAGCAGCAACCACCAGCTTGGTTTAGTGCAGCGTGACATGGGAGACCTTGAAGGAGCTTTGGACTCTTTACAAAAAGCAGCAAACATGAGATCAAAGCTGCTTGGTGATCACGAAGGCACAGCAAGCAGCAACCACGAGCTTGGTTTAGTGCAGCGTGACATGGGAGACCTTAAAGGGGCTTTGGACTCTTTACAAAAAGCAGCAAACATGAGATCAAAGCTTCTAGGAGATCATCTCAATACAGCCGACAGCTTTTATGAACAAGGTTTTATCCATTTTGCCATGGGTGATTTTAACTCAGCTGTTGAGTCACTTCAGAAAGCAGCAGATATGAATTTCAATCTCCGCAGAGATCACATTAACACAGCAAGCAACTACCACACCCTTGGTATGGCGCAGGGTAACATACAGGACTACGAAGGAGCTTTAGACTCCTTACAAAAGGCAATACAGATGAAATCAAATCTACTTGGTGATCACGAACGCACGGCGTCCAGCTACCACCAGCTTGGAGTGGTGCAGCGTGCAATGGAAGACCTTAGAGGCGCTTTGGACTCTTTTCAAAAAGCAGCACACATGAGATCAAATGTGCTTGGTGATCATAAAGACACTGCCTACAGCTACCACAACCTAGCTGTCACGCAGCGTGCAATGGGAGACCTTAAAGGCGCTTAGGACTCTTTTCAAAAAGCAGCACACGTGAGATCAAATGTGCTTGGTGATCATAAAGACACTGCCTACAGCTACCACAAGCTTGGTTTAGTGCAGCGTCAAATGGGAGACCTTAAAGACGCTTTGGACTCTTTTCAAAAAGCAGCACACATGAGATCAAATGTGCTTGGTGATCATAAAGACACTGCCTACAGCTACTATATGCTTAGTTTCACGCAACATCTCATGGGGGACCTTACAGGAGCTTTGAAGTCTGTACAGGTGAGCTTACGATTGAGAAAGGAACTATTAGGAGATCAAATAGGTACAGCTGACAGCTATCATCAGCAAGGCGCTATCTATTATGCTATGGGTGACCATAAGTCAGCTTTTGAAGCATTCCAGAAAGCAGCAGACATAAATTTAAATTTGCGTGGAGATCACATACTTACGGCACACAGCTACCACAGCCTATCTGTCACGAAGGATGAAATGGGTGACCTAAAAGGAGCTTTGGACTCTCTGCAAAGAGCAGCAAACATGAGATCAAATCTGCTTGGTGATCACAAAGACACGGCAAGCAGCTACCACAGCCTAGGTGTCACGCAGCGTGCAATGGGAGACCTTAAAGGAGCCTTGGACTCTTTACAAAAAGCAGCAAACATGAGATCAAATGTGCTTGGTGATCACGAAGACACGGCATCCAGCTACCACGAGCTTGGTTTAGTGCAGCATCAAATGGGAGACCTTAAAGGCGCTTTGGACTCTTTTCAAAACGCAGCACACATGAGATCAAATGTGCATGGTGATCACGAAAACACGGCATGCAGCTACCACAGCCTAGGTGTCACGCAGCGTGCAATGGGAGACCTTAAAGGAGCTTTAGACTCTTTACAAAGAGCAGCAAACATGAGATCAAATGTGCTTGGTGATCACGAAGACACAGCACGCAGCTACCACCAGCTTGGTGTTGTGCAACATGGAATGGGAGACTTGAAAGGAGCATTGGAATCTTTACAACAAGCATTAGATATGAGAGTTAAACTACTGGGTGATCACGGAGATACGACAAGCAGCTTGAATGAATTACGTGCTGTGCGGAACAAACTACCATGAGGGCGACGCGTTCTCTGCTTGGCGCAGTGTTTCGGCGGAAAAATCGACACAAAAAATAACGTTATGAAATAAACGGGAGGTATTAAGTGTACAGTTTTGTTGAATCATACCTCTTAGCAGTGGATCAAAATTTTTTTAGTCAATTGCCAGGAGCGCTCACCAACCTTAATTGTCTTTATTCGCGTCACAGCGTTTTCTGCAACTTGTTGAATTTTAGGTAAACGTTTTTTCTCGAATTAAGACCATTGCAGGAGTCGCATAAACGAGTCGATATAAAAGCAGTATTGAAATGTTACTTTTAGTATTTATATATATGTTTTAGTAGTTTACAATCTTATCTAGGTTTTTCTGCTCTTTGCAACTGATTATAAAGCAACATTAAAAAACCCGATAAGGATATGTTTAGAGAAACTTATTGTAATGTATTGTATATCACACAAAGGATACTAAAGGATGAGTCAAACACTTTAGGCCATATTTGGTGCTATTCACCCTAGGTAAAGGCAGTACATTTGCATCCGGCAGATTGTAATGACACGTTCTTACGTCAAGATTTGCCTACTCCCTGCACGGCGTTTTACCAGGCCTTCTCGGTCAACTCACTTCGGTGACCACTTCTTCGCTCGGACCACGTGACCCGAAAAAAATTGGCCGCGCGGAATAATGAGGCCCAGTAGGGACTAGGCAACGTTAATAAGGCGATTAATGCTCGCCGTTGCTCTTCGCTAAAATACAAATGCTTATAGTTAGTAACATGACCTGGAACCTAAGGTTTTCCAATGTGCTGTGTTAGCCTAGCATGACAGGATGTAGAATTTTCCTTGTAAATGAATTTAAGGGCGCACTCCCGGCGCTCATTTCCTCTAGCTTGCTAGTGTTTCTAGCCCCACAATAGTGTAAGCCTCGGCTACAATAAAAAAGTTAGGAAAAAAGTATTAAAGGCGCAATACAGTACTTCTGTATCCTACAAGGTTAAATGTTTTTTCACTGTTCAGCGCACTTACTTTACGACAAATATCGGCAATGTGGGCATCACATTTGGGCCTGTTATCTAATGCAACGCCGTACATATAACTTGATTTATTTTAAAATGTGAATCAGTTTCTCCCGGCTTCATATGGTGATTAGTAGGGAGTTTAAGCTTCACGCATACGGCAAACGTCATGATCAGATTCAAGTTGAGAATTTCTCAAAATAGAAAATGAGCAGATTAAACAGCTCAAAATCTTCTGGATGAAAAATTGCGTGAAACACTAACTCATGTGTAGAAATAATAAACAGTAAACGACAAGTAAAAGGGAAACTTGGTCACGTGGTACAAATTGGAGTAAACGTGATGCTTAAGCTCTCTAATGTTTCCCAGCACAATTGCCCGGCCCTTCTTAAGATTCGCCTTGTTTTAAAGCACAAGTGCAGCGTGTTGGCTAATTCCCAATTAAATTGCTCCAAGCTGGGGAAAGGGATCTAAGTGTGAATTTTCGAGTCGTCTGCATAATTCATAAACTTGCTCCTCTCGATAGAAAAGTTTGGATCATTCATAAAAAATAAAGTACTCCAGAAAAATTCGCCCACATTTGACAAATCGAACGAGATGGAATAAGAGCAATGGAGTTTGAGACTTTTTACTGAGTGACGTTTTAGCCGCCGTCACCGCCCGAGTTGCCTAAGCTCGCTGATAGCATTAGCCTCCCACGCAGACGTTTTTAGGGGAGCTCGTCTTTCACCCCTTGTGGGGAGGGATGAAAGACGACAACCCCTAAAAACGTCCGTGTACAAGGCTACGATAGCGTCGAGAGACAAAAAAATTAAAATTAAGATTTTCGATACGTAAAAACAAAACCAACAAAGATAGGCTATTAGCCTATCAAACTCACTCAGCGAAGAAGATAAGACGGTCATCGGTAAAATGTTGCATGTAGACCCAGGCTGTCTTTTGCCCTTTTGTGGGGGGAAGGGGGGGGGGGGTAGCCCTGGCAGTAAGGTCACGCCCAGGTGGCGTCTAGCATTTTAATGAGTAGATGCCCGTTTTCCGTGTTCCTATTACTCCACTTACTCTATCCAATGTCGTTTGAAAATTAACACAAGTCTAGTTTCCTTAACATAGGAGTTATCTTTATACTGGAGGAAACTCAGTTTTTTGTAACATTGATTGGAGATTTGGAACAGATATGAAACTACCATGTATAAATTGTACAGTATACTCACCCCTCTTGTCCTGAGCGTTGTTACTGCTCCTATAACACTTCATCCTACTCCATTCAAATCTTGTATCTTCTTCTTGGCTTCTGTTTTCCTACTCTTGCCACTTCTTCAACCTTCAACTTTCTTCGTCCAGTCAGCAAAAGCACTTTTCCAGTGCTCTTCTAATCACCAGTCACAATGTGACCATAGACAAGAATTGGTCATTGACTTTTGTAAGATTTTTGGTTTGTTTGTTGTTGTTGTTGTTGTTGTTGTTGTTTTCTTTAATCTTTTCAAATGTGAAGTATTTTTTATTGTGAATCTGAAGTCATTTTTTTACTTTCAATATTTTTCTGCTTTTCTTTTCCACTGATATCTTTTTTAAGCATCACTTTCATTTTTTTGCATCCTCAGGCCTTCACAAAAATACAAAGAAGTATTCACTACAACTTAACTTATAGTACTATAAAATTAATACAACAGACAGTAAAACCTAAACTAGGTCAAAGACAAGTATTTTTCAATAAAACATTGAGATGGGTATGATCTCTTAGCCTTTGACGTTGGAGAGCGATGACAGTGCGTTTCAGACGAAATGCACACAAGAAATCTTGCTCTTTCAAAGACGATTGGAATACACTGAAGTTAACGCTTGATGTTACAATGTTACAGAAAGCTAAGCTCACTTTAGTTACAAGTCTGAAACAGTTAAATCATGACAATTATTTTACAATGCTTCGACTCAGTTTGGCCGTATCAACTTAAACAATAGTTGTAACTATCTTTTCCACGATCGTTCATCTTCTTCTTCATCCTCTTCATCAAAATCTTCTCCAAGAAGCAAAGCTTCGTCTGCATCCGCATCAAATTCATGTTTTCCCTAAAAAAACAAAAAGAAAATGAATTGTTCTGAAATAAACCGTTGTCTAACAGCAAAACAAAAGAGTTCTGAAAGGCTCCCAAACAAGAAAGCCTTACTCTCTAAATCATATTACTAAAAGATGGGATAATCAATGGGCATGCGCACTGATATGGGATTTACAAATAGATAAATTTGACTCGGGTCATAACGTTGTGACCCAAGTCAAATTTAAAAGGACTTGCAGGGAGTCATCAGAGCATAACTGGGCTAATATCTCAGAGACAATTTGCCCCACAATGCTAGTTTTTGGCAAGTAGGCCTCTTGGATGTTGTTCTTTCAGGCTATCCTGACAAATCCCATAATTTCAAATTTTAATTTTTATAACGTTATCACTTTAGAACTCCGTTTAGGACACCACAACACATACACAAAACGTTTATATTTCATAGAGTTCTCACCAGTTCAGCATCAATATCCAGTCCTAACTCTTCCTCTACTTTCTTGAGCACTGTAGGAGTCGTCGGTGTAGTTGGTACTGCTGTTGCTGGTGATGTAGGCGTCAATGGAGGTCGATACCAAGAAACCTTCAAGGCTCTGCCTTTGAATGTCTTGCCTTTATTGAAGGCCTAAAAATAATAAAATTCTTGTATAAAGCTCTGATTGAAAAGCCAGTGACAGTATAAAACAATATCGATTAATAACTGCAAATCTTCAAAACTAAATTTTATACCGTACGGTATAGTTAATAGAAAAAGGCCCGCTGTCAAATCCTTTTATGGATTTCCCAATTCAACTGGACTACAAGTAATCTCTCTTTCTTAATCTGTCCAGTAAAAAGGGGAGATAAAAAATGGCCTTGTGTGTAACTGAATGTTAGGACAGGGGAGTAGCTGCTCACCATTCACACGTTACAACTCAACTAAGTTTCAAGGCTGTGCACTAAGGAACACTGAAGGGAGCCCAGTGCTCTGAACCTGTAAAATCTAGGGTACCCAGCATATGTTTTGCATGAAAAAACTAAGATTTTCTTGTGGCCCAAAAGAAAAAGTTAGGCGCCAGGGGCCACTGGGCTCTTCTAGAAAACAGCCCGGAGTTTGGGGGAGAATTGGAGACTACTCACAGTTCACAACTCAACAAAAAAAATCAAAACATGGATTTCTCAATGCCATGTGCCCCACTGCACTGCTATCACCCGGAAATCTTTATAAGTTGATGCAATACAAAGTAAACCCAAATAAAGAAAGGAGGGAGGAAATGGGTGGGACATAAGAGCGATAGACACTAGAAATAAACATTGACCAAATGGATAATGCCCATTATTCTTACAATTTCGGCTTCTTTTCTTGTCCTAAAAGTCAAGTTGAGAGTTTCCTTATCATCAATATATTCTTCATTGTCAACAATACCGAATTCCTAGAGGAAGAAAACAAAAAGGCAACTATTAATGTACAAACATAACTTTTTAGTGACTACAAAAGCTCCATCGTAACATTCTTCTTGGCCCATTGCACTGCATCACAGCATTAAACCTGGTCACCCTGCATCCAACTCTGGAGAAAAACTGCTGGCCACCATGGTTCCCTGTTTAACTTAGCCTAAATTACATTTAGCTTCGTGTAAATTCCCGATCTTTATTTATTCTAATAAATCAAACTTTCATTGGCTGCAGCTTCATGAATTCTCAGTCTCAATACATAAGGGAACTAGGACAGGAAGAAATCAAATCTAATAAATTCAAATGTAAATCAAAGGCCACAAATGAGCTTGATTCTCAAAAAGTAATCCACGATAACAAACCAAGGAAATCACTACTTTGACATTGTTTTGGATATCAGAGGCAACTCCTATATGATTTCGTGAACTTAATTGTTGAATTTCTTCAAATCGTCTTGTTTGTGAGAGAAGCTATACATTTTTGTATTAAATTCCACGCAGTATTTCATCCAATATCCAGAATCCTCAAAGTGGGTCTTGCAAAACCCTTTTTTCAAACCACTTCTCAGTGTCTGAATATAACATGAAACACTCTTGAGTTTGATATTGATATTTTTGGTGAGATGACATTGGATGAAACCTGTGTTTCGTTTTGGACATTATTACTTCAATAGTCAGTAACCTTGAGGGATTAAGTCCTGAATGTAAATTAAAGGCCATCTTTGGGACAAGTGAGATGTGCCCTTCTTTCACCATTGACAATTGGTTATACTCCTGAGCAAAATAGATTCATTTCAGCTTTGAAAAGTAGCAAAAAGAAAACGTCATAGTACTTACTTTAAAGTGCTCTGTAATATCTTCCTTCTGTTCAGTTGTTATTTCTCCAACACTGATCCGCCTCGGTCGATGGTCTAATGAAGCACTGTCTCTTGTCCACACCCGTGTTGTTCTTGGAAGTGGTCTGCTTCTCACTGGTGTTCCTCTGCCACGTCCTCTTACAACTCCTCTTCCTCGTCCCTTTGTGGGTGGATCCAGTAAGCCAAGAGATTTTGCCTAAAAAGCGTGCATGGTCAGTAACTACAATACTCCTCACAAATCAATGAAACAGACACTGCTTCTCTTGAATTTTCTCTAAAATTTATTACTCACTCTTCACACTTTTGTTCTCACTCAAATGTGCCCCTCCCCTTCCCCAATGTTGAGCCACACACATTTTGGGGCAGTGAGGCGGCTGTAATACCCAAATCAAAATTGGAGAAGGGGAAACGCACATGTGTTTCAAGATTTTTGACAAGTATTGTAGATATATTCCTGCTGTGAACTACTTAAAGCCAAACACACTGGGTTTAACAAATTTAAACATTCTTTGATTAACAACTACAAGCACTGTTGGGGTGTAATTGCTAAAATAAAGTCCATCTTTATTTACTACAGCCGCATTCTCATTCATCAGCATTACAATGTTTAATGGCCCAGTTCAACGTACCATGTACCACAATACATTGTTTAAAAGTTGATGAACACTGCTGATCAACAAAATTAACATTGAACCATGTGAAATTCAATCATATATTCATCATTTCATTTAATACAGATGTGAGAAAATGTTACAATAGAGAATTTGCACATAATATTTCACATCTATCAAAACGCTAAAAATGATGCACCAGACAGATTGAATGTATCTCAAGTAACTACCTCTTGCTTTAGTTCTTCAACTTTTTTCTTCAGTTCTGTCGTGTCTTCCCCAGTATTCTGATGTGTTATCAGGTCAAGCTCCTGGTCAAGAATTGCTTTCTGGGCCTAAAAAAAAACAAGGTCAAATAACAACAGTTAGTTCTAAATACTGGTATATGATTTTCATATTCATCACTTATCCTTTCGTGGGTTTAAAACGAACCATCTCACTGACAAGCTCTCAGTCCGCTTATTAGCTTACACCAGTACTACACCAGTATCACAGAGGTCATGGGTTTGAGTCCCATTCACAAAGCCTGGATATTTTGCAGGCTTTCCTTTTACAAAAATTGCAGATTGCATGCTTATTCAGGTGACAAAGTTTGCTTTTCAGCCGATTCAAACCCAATCAGTTTAAAGTATAGTATCTGTCAATCTTGGACAAAATAGATGGGAAATTTATACCCCCCCTCCCCAAAAATCAAGAATGGGAAAATGATGTGTTTTGTCTGTTGCCTGGCTTCATCCTTGATTTAGGGGGATGGGCATTTGATGTTCCATTCTGTAGGTGTGCACAAGGTTCATCTATTTATCCACACAAACAAATGTTCAGCTACAGCAAGCACAGGTAATTATGTTGACTTCATGACTAATAATAATTCATTTATCATTACACAGTTTGCACTTACAATCTGTCTGGCCTGTGAGGGACTTTCTTTGGATTTTGCTGCCATAGCTGCTAACTCAACTTCCTTCTTCAGAGCTTCAATGTTTGAACTTAGAGATTTTACCGTCTGGAATAAAAAGCAAAAATATATGAAACACAAGTTGTAACAAGTGACATAAATATACCATCATACTCTGACTTTGCAATGAATACAAAATGTTGGCTTTATTACATGGTTCGTACTCTTTGGAGCTCTTCAAATTCCACGACTTTCAATGACTTTTTCCATTACCTTTTTTAAGATTTCCATGACCTTAGGCTTAGCTTTAGTTTTAAATATTTTTTAAGATTTCTCTTGATTTAGGAATGCATTTTTGACCTAACTCAGTTCTGCAACTTGTTTCATTTATTTATGTATTTATTAAGCTTTGCCAAGAAAAAAAATTATAATAAAAAAATGATACACATATACAAAAAATCAAAAATAAAAGCAACGTTAGGATTGGAAAAAGAAAGGCTAGATGGAAAGGCTAAAAGCAGCAAGTGACGCGGCTAGTTAGAGTGCAAGCGTAGTTACATTTTAGGCAAATTGTTTTCCGTTTTCTGGGGCCCTCTACATTATAACAAGTCCATAAGGAGGCGGTATAGTAATCCCTAAGAAGTCTCTTAAAATGGGCTAAGCTTAACTTATTGATCTTAACTCTGGCAGAAGTCTTACATTCTCCTGCTTTTGACATTCTGCAGTAACTAATCTAACAAGATTAACTTTAACTTCCCATCACTTTCCAGAACCAACAATATTATTTAAATTCCATGACTTTCCAGGTCTTCCATGACCTGTATGAACCCTGTTTAGTAAGAGGGTAATTTATATTTTACCTTCACTATCATATCTTTCTCTGCAGCACTAAGATTCTTCTTTTCAAGTTTGGAGATTAAAAGCTGGCAAAGAAAACCAGAAACAAAGTATTAAGCATACAGTAAAAATGAATTTTCCAACATAAAATGTTTCCACTTTCAATGCGACTGGTCAATTTTGTCTAGGTGACCTCAATTTAAGTAAAGTCAGGTAATAGGACATTAAAAAATCCCAGACTGGGCTGATGGAGAGCTTGTTTACTCCAAAAGAGTCAGCAATCTGTCTTTTTTTGTCTTGCCTTATTCCCTTTTCAGTTAAAAGTCTTTTGTTTCTTCTCCCTACGAACTTGACAGTTCTAAGAGAGACAAGGTGGGCTGCAAGCAGTCTCAGAAATACCCAGCAAATGTGAAGGGGGATAAGTGGTGAGACAGACGGCTGTAATAAAATTCATAATTTTTACCTTCTGTTCTTTGATCTGTTTATTGAGTAGTTCTTGTTTCTGTTTCTGAATTTCCAGTTTCTTTTTTATTGCCTCCTGTAAAAAAAATAAGACAAATAATACAAAAAAGGTTCATAAACATTTTCATCCATGTGGAACTTATCCCTGGAGATAATTCATTGTTTTTCCTTCTGACCTGAAGATTGTAACCCTTTAAGCCCCAGCATCCACAAACAAATTCTCCAGACAGATCTTCATACATTTCCTTTGAGATTAGTGGAGAGAATTTGATAAAAGATCAAAGCATTTTCTCTTTGGTGATCATTTTATTGATTCTCATAACCATTTCTCTTGATGATGTATTGATATTGTTCGTGGGACTTAAAGGGTTAAACTACTTAGCTGCTGCCATGACAACATTGTTGATAGATACCAGGTCCTGCAGAAATATTGCTATTGATGTCAAATTATTGTGGCCCTGTTAGGGTACAATGCTGACAAGCAACATGTATGGCCTTGAAGCGGCAACATAAGACAGACAAAATGACAACAAACGACATGAAGATGGGTTGAATGTGCGACAATGACGAGGAAACCACAAATACAAAAAGTAAAACAACTGCTTTTGAAATTCAGACTACCCTGGGCTGCCCCAAGAAGGTCTCTTTATTATTTTTATTATTATTACTATTATTATTATTATTGTCTTTATTATCACAGTCTTTGCTGGTGTTCTTTTTGTGCATCAGCCGGGCGCAAACCATGCACCTAGAGCGTCAGTCATCAGTCAATCATTCTGTTCATACACTGAACACCTTTCTGAGGATTCGTGCCGATCCCAGCATGCAGATCTTTTGAATCTCTGTCATATTAGCTCTTTCTGATACTTTCTTGATGTTTTCTACCATACCCTTCTTCACTGTACCAAGCGCACCAACAACCACAGGGATCACTACGGTTTTCATATGCCACATTCTCTGTATTTCTAGTTCTAGGTCTTTGTACTTGCATTTTTTTTCAGTTTCCTTCAGTGCGATGTTTCTATCTGATGGAACAGTCATATCAATAAGTTTGCAGGTGGAATTCACTGAATCTTTAATGATGATATCTGGTCTGTTCGCTGTTATAGTTCTATCAGTATTGACTGGCATGTCCCACATGATGGTGATGTTGTTATCTTTATTGTGTATCACGGTCTCTGGCTCGTGTTCGTACCATTTGTCTGTAATCTCTATATCATGATCATTACATAGGCTCCAATGGAGATATGCTGCAGCATTATTGTGCCTGGAGATGTACTCTGTTTTGGCTAATACCTCACATCCAGATACAATATGGTCTACTGTCTCTTCATGTTGCGAACACAATCTGCATTTGCTCTCCACTTGCTGGCCACATATTACTTTCTGGTAGTTTCTGGTGTTTATTGCCTGGTCTTGAGCTGCAACAAGTAGTCCCTCTGTTTCTCCTTTCAAATTACTTGACAACCATTTGTTGGTGGTGACTGTGTCCAAATGAGGCTTCTCTAGGATCTTTGGATACTGGCCATGCAATGCTTTGTTTTTCCACTTTTCTTCTTTCATTGACATCACCCTGGACTTAAACACGTGTTTCAGGGCTTTAGCATTTTCAGAGGCAGATTTATCTTCTCTTTTCTCAATCTCTGGCATTGTTACCTCCCTTTTGAATTTAGTAGCATTCTTGGATATTGAATTTTTGGCTTTAGATCTTTCATGTTCAAACACCTGCTTTGGATATTGCCCTTCCTTGTGCTTCAGATAGTGATCAAGCCCTATTCTTGCAGTTTTGAATGCTGTTTCTACATCAATCAGGCCCCTACCTCCATCTTTTCTTGGGATGTACAGCCTTTCCACATCTGCTTTAGGATGTAACATCTTGTGCATGTTCAATAGTTTACGTGTTTTTGTGTCAATCTTCTTAAGTTCTGAGATTTTTCAGTCAATGATGCCAAAGCTATATTGCACAACTGGGACTGCAAGACTATTGATAGCTTCTATTTTGTTTCTTCCATTGAGCTCAGTTCTTAGGATTAATCTTACTCTCCTATTATATTCTTTTCTTATCTTCTTCTTCTTCTTCTTCTTCTTCTTCTTCTTCTTCTTATTATTATTATTATTATTATTATCATACTGTACTTACCTGCTTTTGAAGTTCTTGCTGTCTCTTGTTCATTGGTGGTCCAGTTGGTACAAGGACAGGTGAAACTTTTGATGTCTTTGAGAATGTTGTCTTCCCACTTTGAAACATAGTTGGTTTGGCTTTGGGTTCTGGAGGAGCCTACAATAAAAATATTTGTGGTAGATCAGCATCAAATATCAACACTAGTGTTTATCTCTAAAGAGAACCCAGCACACTAAATGTCAGCTACTTAAATCCCGGTGCAGTGTCCACATAAGTTTATCAACCTACTTGATAGAATGATTTTCATGCCCCAACTCCCCACCCCCAACCATACAATAAAGCCAGCTATTCAGTGACCACCCTCTATTGAGCAAACAGTAATCAAAGTCCGGAAATAACTGTAGGAGAGAATACCGTAAAATTCCAAAAATAAGCCCCGGGCCTTATATTTTTCAAAGGCCCTTTTTGAGGGGCTTATTTTGGAGGGGCTTATATTCAGGGGGAGCTTATCTATGGAGGGAAATTTGCGTTACAAAATCGATTGGGCTAGCCTTATAGTTGGAAGTAAATTTACTGTTTTTGCTTTGTTTTACTTTGTATTTGAGTGCAATTTTCCAAGTACAAGCCCCTAGGGCGCTTATTTTTGCAGGGGCGATTTAACGGAGGGTTTTTTGTGTTACCGGTTTGGGGGGCTTATTTTTGGAGGGGCTTATACACAGAGGGGCAAATTTTCGGAATTTTACGGTAGTAAATTAAACCTCTATTGAGCAGCTCTGCATACACCTTTTGGCCACGATGAAGGGAAATGAAGCCCATGACAGAAGATGGCGACTTATTATGGACCAGTAAAGACGTTTCAGTTCTATGCTTCAGCTTCACATTAGGCTAGTTTATGATGAACCTCCATTAAGAAACCACTTACCTGTATCTTAGGGGTGACCACTTAATGGCGGTAACTGTATACTAAACAGTGCATTTTGAGGTTTGTTGTGAAGGACTTTAAAGGAGCTGTGTCACGAAATTCAGCCAAATTAGGAAATTATGAAATGCCCGTTAAATTAAGAGAAACATAAAAATAACCGCTTAAAACTTGAAAGGAGGGTTAACATAACAGAAACAACAGATGCCACGGATGGGCAAAACTCAAGAAGATTGAAACGGATTGAAATTAGGATTTTTGAAAACTGTTCAGCCTAACAGTTTTTCAAAGTTGATCCCTACTGCTTGCAACTTCAAAAATAATGCTCAGGAGACATATTTGTTTGTCTCGGATCTCTGATTTTGTCATTTACATGTAATATCTTTGCCTACTTTAAGTTCCCTAGCGATTGAGGGCGAGTAATTGGCAAAATTAAACAAAAGGAACTGGGCTGCCGTGACACAGCCCCTTTAACATGTAATACAGCCATTATTCAGGGTGCAATGAAAGTCAGTTTTACAGCCTGCCATTCGGGCAAGCTGTAGCGAGCATGAACTAGCCCACAAGTCATTTCAACCAGCCCCAAAACCCTTTTTGATTAGCAGGATTAATTACAATCCTGTAATATGAATTTTCCCAAAAAACAGCACTTGCCCATCAGGCAAGTGAAGAACGAAAATCACTAGCCCGATGGCAAAATCCACTAGCTATCAGACACGTCTTTCTTTGCATGCCATTATTACCTTGTTGGCATCCTCTGTTGTAGTTGATTCAGCTTTGACCGGTTCTGTATTACCACTTCCTACTGTGGCTCCTTGATTTGAATGTCCATCCTAAAGAAAATGTCCACATACAGTGGAACCCTAATTTAACGATATGCCAAGGGAGCAGTAAAAGTATATCACTAAATCGAAACTCTCGATGTAACGATATGGCCAAAAAATAACTGATGTTATGTCGGAGTAAACCTAGAATGTACTTTTTTACTGTATACATTATTTCACTAAATATTATTTGTAATAAATATCAAATGATTTGCAAATGTAACATTTCGAGCACACAGCAATGTCCTTAAACAGTTTGCCTTTTACTAGAAGATTTCAAAGGTTGCACAGTATTTTCTGTGGTTTAAATCAAAAAAGAGCAACAAAACTAAACTTAAACCTTTGAAGTTGCAACTTTTCTCGTCTCTGCTTATTGAGTTTGCAAATTCATTGTTTTTCCTTAAAAAAAAAAACAGACAGTGGCCAGCAAGTAATGCATTATTGTGCATGACACGCTTGCAACAATCCTTCTTAAGTCGTTTTTGTTTCAATGTTTCTGTTATCAGAGTTATAATGTACAGCCCAAGTACACCAAGTAAGTTGACAGAAACATTAGAGATTACTCTATTTCTTTAATGTTATTGTATTAAATTCAATGTTTTGCTTAAATTGTGATAATATCGTTATATCGGGTCCACTAAAATCTCATAGTTATATCGGGAATACAGTGTTTATAATTATATCGAAGATCATTATATCAGGGTTCTGTCCCACATATTTTACTGTAACTTTTGCTGGCGCATAGAATATTTATCATTATACCGGGAACATCGTTATATCAAGGATCAATTTATCAGGGTTCTGTCCCACACATTTTACTGTAACTTTTGCTGGGACATCAAAAATCATTATATCAGAGTTCCACTGTAATGACCAAGGAAAGGTACTGAAAAATAAAACCACTATTTTTATTTCCCATCAGGATTATTTGGCACAGTTGAAGATTTAGGACAGAAACCTAACTGCTTAACCATCTGTGCATGAAACTTGATATGTGTGTGGATGAAACCCACAACTGCAGAGCACACATAACAGAAGAAACTGTCAACGAGATATGCATTTGGAAACATCTACAACATATAAAACACTGTAAAAGGTTTGAACCCAGGAGTCGTTTCATAAGTAGGTTGAGTGTGATCGTCTGGGTGAACATAGTCCTGAATAGGACTGTTGTTGTTGACAATGACTGACATTTCAACAACCTGTGAGGTAGTCATCTTCAGAGTCTTGTACCAATTCAGTAACTGCTTTTCAAACATGGATGGCAGTTTTAAAGACATCAGTCATTTTCAACAGTCATTGTAGTGGCTACTAAAATAAAATGCACAACAAAGTTTTTTGGGATTCAAATAACAAATAACGTTCTATAAGCCTTCTAAATGTTGGGACAAGTTCACACTAACCCACCTTATTGTTTTGTTGTCTGTCAGGATTGTGCCAGAACACTCGGATAAACCGGTTACCAAGGACAGCATCAGGACAAGAGTGTGCTGCTTTTGCTTCAGTGTGATGTGAAAACTGTACCAATGCAGCTTCAGGATCTCCAAATGCACAGACCTAAAAAACATCATCATTTTATACACTATACTTTCAACAAAAGGACTGTTATTAGACTGTTCACAATCCCCTACTTTTCCCTCAGATTGCCCAGATCAAGCACTTTGTGTTACAGGCAGCCATCTTGGTCTCAAGTGTTCTGAGTCTAGCCTGGGGATGAGTGTCAAATCTACTTAGGAGGTGGGGGATGGAAACCTGATGCTCACCCCCTCAGTAAATAAGAAACCAAGATGGCCACTTGAAAGAACTGTCTGTACCAGTAAGCGCTTGATCATGATGATTTTACGAAAAAATAGGGGGCTGTAAACAGTCTACTATATTATAGGATTTTATGAACATTGGGCAACCTACAACCTGTACAACTAGCTTTAATGTAACAACAATGTTGTTAGCTCTTTAGAGCAATTATTTACAATTCCACACAATTCTTCTACCTGAATATTTGTGATAGAACCAAATCTTTGAAAATGCTCATTCAACTTGGCAATGTTGTTCAGGTCACGAGGAATCCTTTTCAACTCTAATGTATCACTGAATTTCCTTGGAAACCCAAGTCTGTTCTTGACAGGGGCGGTGTGATTAACAGAGCTGGGAGCTTGTGCCACACCCGGCTGGGGTACACCTGAGGACTGCTGCTGTTGTTGCGGTGGTTGCTCTTGGGGTGGTACAGGGGTGTTGTTTGTTGCATCTGGGTGGATGACTACTCTGTCAGGCATGGTGGGTACTGTTGGAGGTGGGGCAGATATACCAGGGACTTGATGCACAAAAATCAACAAAATAATAATGAGAACAGGAAAAAATAGTCAGTGTTGCAATTGTGGGTTGATCATTATAAGGCTGTGCTTAAAGGAAATTCTTGGGAGCCTTGAACATATAAAATCCAGGGTACCAGGTACATAATTGTTATGCAAAAACTAAGGTTTCTCTGTCACCCAAGGTAGAAGTAAGTTGGGAGGAGCTGCCAAGCATAACTAAAGCACAGTCTTGGGTACTACTGATTATAAAGAAAAGCAAAGTTATGGAATCCAGAGCTACACCTATACATTCATGCACAGATTGACCTAAATGCAACAGTGTGATCATATTTTTTTCTGAGTCTGTTTTTTTTTTAGACATTTTTGAAACATAATTTGAATTTCGCCAAATGAACACCAAAACTGAACATTTGTTGGTGATGTTTGCTGCAATATTACTAGATATTTTTTTTGTTTTTGTTTTTGTTTTTTTTTTGTCATAGTAGTTTTTCAAAGTGCACTGTAAGCCTTTAATCACACTGTCATTTAAGTCAAATGAAAGAATCAGAGTAGGTGACATGAGATTAGAAAGTCAGCCCTTGAACATGTTACAGGTTGCTAGTTACAAAAAGGAGAGGTCTAAAAAATCTGCTGTTGTTTAATTACCTCGAACAGTAAGTTGAGTTTGATTGGGAGTGACGGGCAATAGTTCTCTTGATCGTAAAGCCATCATGGGATGAAACCCTCCGCGGGCGGGAAGGGGATGAGGAGGACGGCCATTACCCAGCCTCATCCACACAGGGGTGCGGTCAAACTGTGGCTGCTCTGGATTGTAGGAATCTGAAGTGAAAAAAATACATAGAAAAGTTTGTAAAGTTTCTCTGACAAACTTTGAGTGTGTTTCTTTGAAAGAAGGCAAAAGTAGACTCTTAGGGCAAGTTCAGATGCCTTAATTCAAACTAGTGGAATCAAATTTGACATTAGGCCGATCCAATTAATTTAGGCCAGCTGAATTAATTTGGACACCAATCTGTATACCAGCTGGACTAAATTTAAAAGGGTAAAAATGAGCACTGCATTAACAGTACATCACAAAAACTTATAAATATTGTTTGGCTCATGTTAAGTTCAGCATCTGAATCAATGCTGGTTCACAGCCATCATTCACAGCTGACCCTGGTGTAAACAACAGCTGAGCCAATCCAAATTAACTTAGCCATTTTAAATTGATTCCGATGCTGTACTTTACGTAAACTTAATTCCTTGAATTCAATTCCACTCATGTTAAGTACAGTATCTGAGCTGAGCATTCAGATTCAGATTTGGATTTTTCTGAATCAATTTGGAGAATAAAATAATTCTTAAAAACCATTTGTGTATTTCAGTAAAGACACACAAACACTATTTTCAGATTCAAGAGTTAAAGTTACAGGTAAGATCTTCCCAAAAAAATCCACCGTAAGTTAACAGCCAGTTAAAAAATAAATCTTTGATTCAAAGACTTCAATAACAAAACTTACAACAATCTAGGAAATGAAGCTAAAGTTACGAAGCAGTCAATTTTACTGAACCTACTGAACTTAACATATCACATTATTATTTGAATGTACGTGTGTGGATTATACTTCAAAGTCTGACACCAAAAGCAAGTGCAAAAGAAATGAAAAAATAAGACCCACCTTCAAATGGCTTCATAAATGGAGGGCGGGGTGCCTGCCCCCGTAGTATTGGTTGCTGCATCATATGAACAGCATGGGGTGGCATAACAGGTGCTTGACTACGTGGAGGTACCATGATGGCTGGGGCTGAGGGTCTTGGGCCACTCACAGGTACAGTTGTATCAGGACCTTCCTGAGCACCTTTGCATTTTGGACCATCATTAGGTAATGTGCCTGATGTCCCAGGGGGCGGCGGTTGGGAGTTTGGAGGAGGATAATTCCCAGGGATAGGGCCAGCATTCCCCGGTAGTGCTGCCGCGGGGATTGGTTGGCCATCAGGAAGGAAAGGAGGTCCAGTGGATGCAGGGAATCCTAACATCCCTGGAGGTAGCATATCTTGTACCACCACAGGATCATTACCATGGTCAAAAGGACACAGCTCCCCTCGCATACAAAATCCTTTTTCTGTTGAAATGTAAGCCAAAAAAAAACCTTTGTTGAGAATCCACTACAGTGGAGCCACAATTTACGTGTAAATCAGCCGTACAGCTGTACTCAAAAATTAGTTTTAATTAAATTGGTTTGATTTTATTTGTGTATTTATTTATCTATTAGAAAACTACACACGTCTTTTTTACTTTAATTTTCAATACTTTGCCTCATACCCAAATACTTTTCTCTTACTCACACAACGGAAAATAAATAATGAAGAGGTGTATTGAATAAGGTCCTAATTAACTTTAGATCTAATCTCAAATTCTCTTTTGGTTTCACAAGAAAATATTAGGTAATTTCTGAGGAGAATATAGTAGTTTATCAGAAATCAGTTGGTGTTGTTTTATGGATCATCATCAACATCATCAATATAATACCCCTCTGCACCAGAAAGACATTATTTCTGGGTACCCCTTTAAATCACGATTCTTCCCAAAGTAATTAAAGGGGCCTACAGTAGGTTTGTCTTATGCTAGCTACAACTCAGATTCAGTACTTTCAGACAAAAAAAAACATACCATCATAGTCACGGCAACGAGACTTCCTCCCCATACCCCTCTCCCTATCATCCCTTCTTTCACGTCGCAGTCGGTCATCTCTGTATCGGTCCCGGTCTCGGTCGTGAAAGTTGCGCATCCTTCCACCTCTGCGATCCCTGGTTGGGCTGCCATGTCTGCCTCTAAAGTCCTCATGAGGGTGCATACCCATTCGTAAATCCTGAACATCTTGACCGTACCTGTTACCCCTGTCACGATGCAGTGAGCTGGGAATGGGGTAAGTTACATTGTCAAAAGGTGCGGAATCAGGCCTGTTTTTAGGTGCCTGATCATCTCTGGGTTCCGAATCCCCTCTCCTTACTCCACTTAGTTCCTCTCTTGGAATCTTTACAAGGTCATCTCTGCTTCTATCCTCATCCGCTCTTCGTTTACGAGATCTATCTCCAGTGGTTGTCACAATAGAACTGCCTCCAGCAGCGCTACGATCACTACTTTCTGTGGTTCTTCTTGTTCGTTTGAAATCTCTATCATCATCATCAGGCTGAAAAAAAGCCAAAAATATTTTCATCTGTTACAAAAGTAAACACAACAACAGTCTCACAGCATTAATTTTAATCATTCACAAACAAAGAAGTTCAAAATCTTTACATGGGCTTCACCACTTCCTTGAATGGCAATCAAATTACTGAGATTCATTGTGCAATAAATTAAGCATGTTTAGCATCTATGCCGCTTTCTGCTAATCTATCCCTAATCCCTCCCTTTCAGGTACATGTTAGAGTATACCATGTTATTTTTCCACTAATCTACGTGGTCATGGTCCTGCTGGTTGTTGCTGCTCACTGATTGCCATGGATACAATATGTACATCTCTTATGCACTTGGTACCACCATCCTTTAGGTCACCTACAACCAACCTCATCTATATTTGAGAAGTTTAATTTTTTCTTTGCACAGCTTCAAGACCCACACCCACTTTAAACATACTAGAGATGAAAAGTGTAGCATTTATTACTGGTGTATCAAGCCGGAGAACAAGAGACAAAAATGAAGAGAGCACTTCAAGATAGTGGTTAATTGTTCAACAACAACTCTGAAATTCATGAAAACGAAGCACGTGACTGTTTACAATGTATCAATATTGGCCAATATTCTCACAAAAAGTTGTTGCTTTTAGATAATTAATTCAAGGAGGAGCAACAGCAATCATTCGTGGCCTTTCTGCTAAGAATCAGGGTTTGCAAATACGCCAAATTTGGCCTATTTTACACCAAAATTGTTCAGATGACTCCACTGAGGTTACGGAGAAAGTCACTTCGACTCCAGAAATTTTCGTTAACAAACAGTTTTGTCCTTACCTCTTTCACAACAAATACAATTTACGTTAATATTGTAAACATTGTAAACCTAAATTAAATCATTGAAGTTAAAGAATTATACTGTACGACAAAACATGAAGAGGGAAAATTACAATCTAAGTTTAATCAATGACCGCCATCATGGATTTGAGCTTTCCGCGGACCACACAGCTACTTCGTGTATCCCTCATGATAGTGTATACATGCCAGGGCCACATGCTGGAAAGTCTGAAAATGGCTTTTTTTGTTGTGATACTTGACTCCAAATATTCCAAAATGACTCCAAAATTTGCGAAGCAGAAGTCACACTGACTCCACTCATCAATAAAAATTAATTTGCAAACCCTGTAAGAATTATAAAGTTGTTACATGTATCTCCACTTACCTCTGCCAGTACTCTTGTCGTTAAAACATCTTCTGATAATGATGTTTTTCGTGGTTTTTCCTGTGTTGTTGTAGTTGTGGGTGTTGGCTGCGGAGGAAGTACTGAGGTAGGAACAGGAACTGGAGGAGGGCTGGGTTCTATGAGTGTCTGAGGTAGGTACGCAGAGTTTGTAAGTGCTTCAAACAACTCATTTACAAATTTGGCAGTTTCTGGAGATACAAAATAAAATGGTTATCAGTAACATACATGTACATGTAGATGATTCATTCTGTAATATAAATAACAACTACAAATTAAAGGTCTCCACAACTAAGTCCAAAACCCTTGGGAACAAGGCCTTTAATCTTGATGGCCCCTCACTGTTCAATACTCTTCCTATAGCTATCACAACTATCCAGAAAGTTTAAGGCTTTAAGCAGGGCCTAAAGAATTTTTAATGTTGTATGGCATTTGCATAAATAATATTATTATATTTATTTATTTTTCCTCACAAAATGTACAAAGAAAGAAAGAAAAAATACAGTACAGAACGAAAGTGGTGAGGAAGCTTTTAATAGAAACCACAGGGCTTATAACATAAGGCTTCCTCAGCTGAATCAATTTATGCACAGTATAATTAAGTTGTCAAGTGACTGTAATGTTTTATTTCCATTTTCTCCGGGTATGCTATCTGTTATGTGTTCCTGTTTGTCAGCTTCTTTTGGATTAACGTTACAGCTCAGTACTAGATTCAAGTTAAAAATATTTACCCGTAGGTTTATTCTCAATTTCCTTTGTCTTGCAGCCCTAATTATTCTTAAAAAAATGGCACCTCCAATAATGGGAAATAAATTTTTGAAACAAATGGGTTTACAGCAGATCTAATACCCTACATGTAAGTATTGTTCACTGTCACCTGTGATAACATTTTTTGCTCTAAAACTACAGCTGTGTGTTTATAATGTTTAGTCTGGAAGCTGCCTGCACATCCAAACAGGCAATAACATGGCCGTAATGTTGATGGAATTAATGTCATTTCAGCGTGAGAACGATTGCAAACACATCAAATTTTCAACCACAAAATTAAGGGAAAACGAAAAGGAGAATAAAAACTCTACATTCTGAAATGGTTAGATCATACACCTTCTGCTACTTGAAACGAAACTTTCACCATTGTACTGTTTTTCGATCAACTGATCGATGCAATGTGGAGATAGAAGAAACGTACATGTAGCTAGTCACAAGTGCTTTTTGTACCAGAGCTATGTAACCACATCTGTTACTCATTTATGTCTCTAAGGAGACTGGTGATGAGTAATGGGAGCACTATTATGCACGTGACAAGTCAAGTTTTTGTCGGCCTAACAGGGGCCTGATTCCTTTGGATTTGCATACATAACGCTTTTGGAAGAAAGAAAATAGATGAAAAAACAATCATAAAATGATATAGTTAAACTTGTTTATGTTCTCAAAACTGATCTACCAGATCAGTAAGTAGCAATTTTCGTACTGAGTTCGAAATTATCTCCTTGGAAAGTGATTTTTATTGTCCAACCCCCCTCCCCTCTGGAATTTCCTGGGTCTCTGACCCCCCCCCCCCACACACACACACACACACACACCCCCCATGGAAATTCCAAATCCTTCCGTGGTGAGGGTTTGGATATTTTCTGAAAGGGAAATAAATATATGAAATAATAATAAATAATTACATTACTTTGTGAAGCACCGAACTCACCATCAGAAAGGAATACTTCTAACTGGTCAATGCAAATCTCCTTGAGTTCTTCCACGGGCTTGTCCTTTTTTACCAAAGCCACAACATATTTAGCTAAAGCAGCGGGATCAGCATCACAACTATAATACAAATATCAATAATTAAAGAAAAACAGGATTCAAAAAAATTATTAATGGCTAATGTGCGTGTCAAACCCATTGGTTGTCTGTCACCAAACCAGCTATCAACAACACGTTGATGGTTTATGAAAGGTTTAAGGAGCCTACCAAGTAAAGCTAAAAAAAAGATGGTGATGAGGGAAAAAATCTACATATATTATGAGTATTATTTACCTCAAACAGTCTTTCTACCTGACCATTAAAGGTGGTGCACAACGTCAAGTCGCTCAAAAGTCATCTGACCTACACGATGCTCAAAATTATAACACAGGACACTTTTGTACAGCGCTGCAGTCACTGCTATTTTACACTTACTGTTGTTGTCAGGCTTGAGGAATGACAAGTACAAAAATGTTTCTATGCTGTCATTTATCTTAGTGTAAATTAACTCTCGGGTTCGGTCATCATAACCTCAAGCAAGATGACTTTTGGCCGACTTGATCAGTTGCCTGCAAAATGTATCTAGTGCAATGGTGAGGCCCCCATAAGGGGGCTGTACGTATGTCCCTAGTCTAAATTTTAAATACGGCTGTTTCGAGTTTTGAAGCGTAGGCCATGTCTCTGTCAGTATTCATCCCATCTTCACGTTGTTTGTCTTATGTCGCTGTTTCAAGGCCATGTCACTTGTCCAAATTTTACCCTAAGAAGACCTCAGTAGGGTGACAACAATATTGAGCAAACAAAAATAATCTTCCTGCATCAGTTACCCCTCAGTGTACCAGTTACAACTAACGCAAAGGCAACACATTTATTCAAACCAATTTGCCCAAATTAACAGTTAGTTTGCCCGTAACTGTACACCATTTCATCTATATATGGTTACCTTACAGGTCAAATGGCGCGATTGGATTATGATCAGTCCAAAATAAAATTAGGAATTTAAAAAAGCTATAAAGAAACAACCATTAATTAACAAATCACGTGAAGAGCAATCTTACATCTTTGCCATCATATACTCACACTGACTCCAAACGAGTTGTTAACCAAGATTTCAAGGCTTCCACGCTCTTAATCTGCATCGTGATCCACGTAAAAGACTTCGAAAATAGATCGCCCTTCGACAAAGCGTGTCGCACTTGCACCGTCAGCTTTTCACACTAACCCGGAAATTCAAGAAATTAACCAACAATTTGTTGGTTTTGTGGAATTGAATAGCTCTTTAACTATTAGGATCATCTTTTCGGCGGTTTTTAAGTCTATTTCTCCGCGGAGTCGTTCTAAAATTAAGACAAGTTTACAAGACACGCTTAGCACTGTTGGTCGCCATTTTGTCTTCCACGAGGATTGGAGAGAGCTCATCCAAGCCTGGAAACTAGGGACAGTTTTCTTTCATCATCTTGGGTACCCCAGTGAAAAGACCTATAAGCTATCCCAGAACCCACTAAAAGCTTCATTTTTTCCAGAGAGGACTGGTAAATAGGGTCTTCTTTGATTGTATTTGTTCTGTCCCTTGTGGAAAATGGACCTTCGACCATCCCAGAAATCTTTTCGTACCGCGTACCGCCAAAAGCCTTCTTCCCGGCTTTTTTTTGTGATTGTAGCGTTTCGTTCTCTCAGAAAGATGCCTAACCGAGAAGAAGAGGGGTCGACCAGCAGCGAAAGTTCAACGCCAGAACAGGTACTGTCACAGGGTTTGTCTTTTGATCGAAATTTGAATCTCTTTCGGGTGATGCTTGCGAAAAGTGACCGTGAGTTTGAGGTCGAGCGGGAAATCCACATCCGTCCACTTAGCCATGTGCATTTCATATTGTTGTCCTTTCTTTCTCAAAATCCATGAACCTTCTTCATTGCAGACAATGGAGAATTCGATCACACTTTGTTAGGCAGAGAGCCTTAGGAGGGTGCGAAACTTTCACAAACTTAAGAGTCATTTTAAGGGGCAAATTCAGTTTTTGACAGTCCTGCACGAAATGAACAAAGATACATAAGGTTTAGTAGAGATGTTCATTGTGCAACACCGTACTGTCGTCGTAAAGCTCTTCTGTGTGGATCAGATATTTAATTGTATTGAAATCTTTAGCGGCAGTTTATGAACAGTACACCCGCGGAACTTTTTAACATCGCATTAAACAAAAATTCCAAGATGTTAGCTCATAAAGGTATAATGAGAAGTTAGATTTAAATCACTGTTTCAGTAAAAGCTAAAGACATTCTAAATTTGTTTGTAACTACCACAGTTGTCATCTTTAGATTATGTATAAGTTGTAAATATGCTTTACTTACCAGCACAAGGTTTGCATGGCCTGATTAATAATAATAATAATAATAATAATAACAGTTTATTCGCAGTTTCGCGACATAGTAGCTATACATCTGTGAATTTACCAACTAAGGAAATATAACTAGTAATAGTTGACACTAAAGCTGCCCCCATTCTGTATATTGTCGGTCAATAGTATTCTTGCTGGTTGTGTAGCTCTTTGAAATATACGGATTCATAATGAAGATTTTCACACATATTCCATACAATAGGTGAGATAAATACAGGAAACGCAAGGTTCAGCTCGATTTCCACAGCTTTGATCAAAACATTCTCAGTTTCGAGAAAAGTTTATTCTAAACCATAAGAAAAGATTTAATTAGAAGATGAATTTTTCACTATTTCTCTTTCCCTTTTTACATTCAGTTCATTTTATATGCCGGAAAGTAAGCCTTAGAAATTAAAAGGACGTTTGATCGATTCGCGCTCGCGCATTCTAGTCTTACTTGAAACTTTATAATGGAAGGACATCTGTGAGCAGGGAATAAGTCATCACAGAATTTGATTGTCGGCGAATTTCTGTAATTGTCCATCAATCTGCTACTGATAAGCTAGCCGTTGTTCACTCACCTTGCTTGTTTGGGGCTGAGTCTTATTCTGCAAAGAGAGAGAAAGAGTGTCTGGCAAGGTTTCCAATATAAATCAAAGATTTCTGAACTCGTGTCTGGCAAACTCTCCAAGTGTTTATATATACACAGTTTAACGCACCTTATAACCTCATCTGCGCTTAACGAGTGTCTTTTGGTTCATAACTTTTAAAACAACTGCTCCACAGAATGTCACTGCGTAACGCAAAAGAGTATCGAAGTATGACTGCACTATAAATGTCACAAAATCTACCTGAGCGGTCCCTTTGGGATTTTCTGTCTTTACGTCATCCTAACCATTTCGTACTAGCGGGTGCAAACAATAGAAACGTCATCATTACCTACCGATTCCTCGCGGCCCCTGTTCGAGCAAATCGAGATTTTTTCTAGTATACTGACTGTATATTTGAACTGTAAGTACTGTCCTTAATATACGCGCGAGTTACTAGAGGACTAGAGTTCCTCGGGATTTCGCCTCTGGGCGAAATCCCTGCAGGGGCAATTATACATTAATTTAAAAAACCATCAACAAGAAAAAGCATTAAAAACAAGAAAATTATAATAATTTTAAATATTATATAAAAATCTATTTGCAAGTAAAAAGCAATCACATTTGATTTCAGCTAGTTGGAGCTGTGCCCTTTCTTTAAAAACAGTGATAACTAATTAATAATGACTGTGGAAATCCGAAAATTTATTTTTACCTTCAACTCGCTTTAGTTACAAAGCAAAGGATTTCAGAAAGCTTATATGTTGTATTAGTTTCTTGTAATTTTTTTTAGAAGGGTGTGGTATTGAAGCAGTTTTGTATGGGATAGGGTATAGAAATCAGAGAGCCTGGGTCTACATTGTGGGATCATTTTTCACTGGTTGAAGATTTTAGTCTAGACTAGGGAAATTGGCAAATTTATTTTTACCTTCAACTCGTTTTAATAACAAAGCAAGCATCATTAGATGGGAATTAGTGACACACTCTCTCTCTATCGCTCTGCAGGGAAGGGTAGGAGAGGACCCTGGGAATGAGGTTGAATTAGTGACTCCAGGATTGGGAGGAATTTGGGGAGTTTAGTCTTGTTTGGGCAGTGATTTTATTACAAATAGTTATGGTGAGTCCTGGTACTCATCTTGTGAAAAATCATAAGTCCCTGTCCATAACCAATGAGTCCCAGTTCACAAAAACAAGGAGTTCTAAATTGAAAATGCTTGGGCCTTTATGTAACCAGTCAGTTAATCTGGAGACAGATGCCAAAACTCTTTATTACAGTTTACTGAAATTAAAATAATAAAGTCCTTCTATACAACTGTATATTTAAAGCACAAAAAAGACTAAAATAAATATGCATCTTTTAACAACAGATGAAATCACAAAAACAGTACATTCTACCAAAAAATCTTCAAATCGACTGATCATTCTTTGCATCCTACGGGACACATGCAGTAAATTATTATTTTGCACCTTGGGCATGCAAAGAAAGTTATGTCCGATAGCCCGGGGCTAGTGGATTTTGGTATCGGGCTAATGATTTTTGTTCTTAACTTGCCCGACGGGCAAGTGCTGTTTTTTAGAGAAATTCAAATTACAGAAGGACTGTAATAAATCCAGCTGATCAAAAAGGGTTTGAGGGCTAGTTGAAATGACTTGTGGGCTGGTACATGCTAGCTACAGCTTGCCTGAATGGTTTCCAATATCCTTGTGGCACATCACCACCCAAAAATTCCTAAAAGTACCTTGCATCTTGGCTTTTTTTCCAGCCTCCCTTCCCTAGTTAAATACTATGAATTTGCCGGTACATCATGCACTCAGTTAGTTCCATACACTCCTCTGGACATCCACCTAAACTCTGAGTTTAGCAGTTCATAAACCCAACATGTTAAAAGAAATCATTTTACACCCAAAATTGCTTGTCCACAAAATACCCATAAGAGTATATCATACAGGGTGCAAAGAAAGTCAATTTTACAGCTTGCCATCAGGGTTCTCAATAGAAGGCGGCACCCGGCAATTGATCGTCGCTTACTTTGGGATTTATAGCCGCTTACTTTGTGTTTAAGTCGCTTTTCTTTGCTTTGTTTTGACACCTCTGGCTTTGCTGAAGAGCCTCCTACTTTATCAGTGATCACCTCCTACTTAAAAATCTATTGAGAACCCTGTGCCATTCAAGCAAGCTGTCGCTCCAACTAGCATGTACCAGCCCTAAAGTCATTTCAACTGGCTCCAGTTACCTTTTGATGAGCAAGATTGATAACTCAGTTCTTCTTTACTTTGAATCCCTCAAAAAACTTCACTTGCTGATCAGGCAAGGTAAGAAAAAAATTAATTTGCTAGCCCCATAGCAAAATCCACCAGCCCCAGGCTATCAGACACAAGTTTTTTTGCACGCTGTCATACCAACTTCTGTTTTCAGTTTTGTGGGGAACCTGTTTTGGCTATGATCAATTTCAGGTGCTAAATATTTCTTGTGACATACACCTAACTGTAAATCTGAGGAATGTTTAAATGGTTTTCTGTTTAGTCTGGAGATGAAGTTGAAGAATCCGCTCCAAAATCCAAAGGCCGGAAGGCTGCTGCAGGTTATCAACCCACTCCAAAGGGATATGAAGAGAAAGTGGTAAGAAGTTACTAAGTAGTCACTCATGACAAGACAATTCACTGAGTCAATTTTATAACACAAGTTGCATTGCCATACTCTTTGTAGAAATAGAGGTTGAGTCAAGTCGACTCCATGTTTTCTCAAACATACCTTCTAATAAAAGGTTAAGGTAAAAAGAGGTAAGATCAAGAACCCTTATTTTGTGTTGGTAACTCAAAATAGTCATCTGACTAACAAACCTGAGGCCAACTGTGGGCTCATTTTACCCCTCTTCTCTGTACAGGGCTGAAAATAACGGCCGGTCAACGGACAATGTCCGGCCTGATCGCGGACTTGACCGGTCAAACTCTGGTCTTACCGGTCACTTTGACCGGTCATTTTTGGATACAAACATTTTATTTTCCATACAGTTGTCGCTTAATGCTCTATAAAACTGCAATGATTTCTTTTTTCTTTGGCTTATTTTGCTGCTTTGCTTTGCACTAAATCCTTCTAAGAAAAAGAACGTTGCAATAAATTAATTTCATGTCGTCATGTCGTAATGAAACGTAACAAAGTGAATAACAAACTGAGTTGAAAAGTAACGCAACGTTGCAAATCTTACTGTACTTTCTGCTTTGCTGTAATCAGTAATGCAACCTTCTTTGGGAATTCCACGGAATTCGGGCAGATCGATCGCAATTCTCAACAGGTCATCCTGTGTTTCTCCGGGAATATTGTTAGCGCATCGATTAATAATAATTTCTTTTATGTCGAACATGAATCTCGTTTGAAGACTCGATTCCAGAATAGTCTCATAAAAATTTAAGCTAATCAAGAGGGAAGGTAGCCTGCGAAAACATCCGTTTCTCCTCGCTCTTCGCCGCTGGGGCGGCGAAGAGTGAGGAGAAACGGATGTTTTCGCAGGCTAGAGGGAAGGTCGTCACTGTCTCGTCGTCTATCTCATTCTTGTAAACAACTTTATGAAAATTTCTGTTGACATTTGAGCCCTACGGGATAAAATGTTGCGCGATGACCCAAATGAAAGCTCTGCTGTGTATTTATTGACTTCTGATGATAAACACGCCAATGCAAATCAACTTCTTTGCCAAAAATATTAGCGACGATTCTTCAGTTTGAAGAGACTTTCGATCACGTTCCAGGCAAGGAAAAAGTTTGACCGATGTTCATTTCGGAACATCAACGTAAAACAATCGTGTGCAGATTATGTAAAATAACCCAAATTATTATTTTTTTTTGGTAATTCCTAAAGTTTGTTGAACTGTATGTGTATTCCATTTCCTGAACCTTGAGAGTTTAAAAAGGATTGACGCTTCACTTTTTACTTGAGAGACTTCAGACAACGCCGTACGATGATACTCAAAGTAGAACGTAACATTAAAACGCACGAAAACTGTGGAAACGAACTCTACAAGGTGCAACTGAAGCATTTTTCACCAACTTAATGTCAAAAATGTGAACGTTAATGTAGTAATAACGATCTATTGCCAGCATAATTCGATATTCCTTGGGCAAAAAAAAATTATGGTATTCATAATTTGACTGGCCAGAATCGGGGTTTGTCCGGGCTAAAAAATATTTGGCCGGTCATCATGACCGGCGACCTGCTGTCCGTTATTTTCAGCCCTGTCTGTATCAGTGCTCCATTTTACGGGTATTTAAAGCTACTTAAAGCAACACAGACAGGACTCGGGACCTCCTGCACAGAAGGTGGCACACTAACCAACTGGGCTAATCCTTCCTTCGAATAGATTAGTAATTTTATGATTATTAGGTACAGCTTTGATGGAGTTTATCTCATTTTAATGATATTATTATACCTTATTTCATTTTAGCCCACTTGTATATAACAAACCAGCCATGTATAATGTCAGTAGATTATATTCTATAAAATATTATTGTTGGTGACTTAAGGCATGAGATGGTTACAGTCTTAGTCTCTTCTTTGTAATGGAAATAATAATAATATTATTATTAAGTTTGGCGTGTCAGAGTTGTCAGAAAGTTTTGAAGTAGATGGCTCAGTTGTCAAAGTAGGCGGCCAGTCCAGGGATATTTTATTTTTAAAAAAAACACCATCTGTAAAGAAATGCTAAGCAGTGTAGCTGGCCGATACTGACCAAGTAGGCAGCGATTTTCGCCGGCAGCAGGCTACTTTCTACAAACCTGCTTGTACATGTATGTGTAGTTAACTGGAAAATTTGGTATTTGCTTTTTTCTTCTGCAGGCTGCTGACAAGGCCACAAGGTTTAATTACCTGCTACAACAGACTGAGATCTTTGCTCATTTTATGAACACAACAAGATCAAAGAAACAGCCTTCCAGTCCTTTGAAAATGAAGGCACCGCAGTTTCCAAGCAGAAGTAGAAAATTGTCTGATTGTGGAGAGTAAGTGGATGTTGAAGTTTTTAGATACAGTCAAGTACCTTTCACTCTTGCTGCTTCAACAGTGTCCCAAACCAAAATTTTTATTAATATCCCAATTTTTAACTTTGTCAAACTCTAAAAAGAACTACACTGGAACTTGGTATAACAAAGGGCCAAGGGATTAGCCAATAATTATGTTCAATCTTACGGATGTCTGTGTTACTGAAAGCCTTGGATTGGATTTTTGATTTATAATGTTACACTTTTTTTTCATTTAAGTCATCGGCATCGTCGCACAGAACAAGAAGAAGATGAAGAGTTGATCAGCGAAAACAAGCATGCACAAAAGTCTGTTATTCATTTTGATCAGAATCCACACTGTAAGTAACTTGTCTTACTTGTACACTCAACGTTTTCACAAGTCTGAGTCTTAGATAATGATCCATGGGTGTTTTCTAAAGACACCATTTACCTAGGAAAAAAATTACCTACAACATGTACATTTGCTTACATACGTTTTTGTAATAGGTTTTTATTTCTTTCTTTGTTCCTTTGGCATCCCTTGGGCTAATATTATTATAGTACAGCATTTCCCGAAAAAGTACAGCAATGGCAAGATCAGTGTGTCTGTAATGAAATGTTTGAGGTCTTTATAAGGGAGGACTATCTTTGAATCTCTCCTCTGGTGCCGATATACGTATACATGCATTATGCTATGTACAGTAACGTTGTACAACAAGTTAGTTAAATTAATTATTGGCAGAGACAATAAAGCAATTTGAATATTTTGCTTTGCAGATATCAAAAAAGGTGAAATGCGAGATTATCAGATTAGAGGTCTCAATTGGCTGATTTCACTATTTGAAAATGGAATCAATGGAATTTTGGCTGATGAAATGGTAAAGTAGAATAGTTATAATATGTTATTCTACATCTACAGAAAAGAATCCTTCTTGATACCTTTTTTTAGGCTCTGTTTTTTTTTTACCCTTAGTGGAAGAATAATGTATCGCAGTCTTTCATACACATACTTGCATTTTCACGAAATATATGTGGTCATTCTTCATTTAACATTTTTCATGTATGTAACATAATCCAATGAAATAGATTTTCCTTTTTATTTATTTAATTTTTTTCCTCCTTTATACTAGTTATGTTCTCGAAGATATTAGCCTTTCAGGCTACTCTCAAATTCGACTATAAATAAAGTTCATTTATGTATGTATAGTTTTGTTTTTTTTTTTAATTAACACATACAGTGCTGATTTAGAACCAATCTTTCCAGTCCTCAACAGTAGCTCTAGCTATAAGACCAGAACTAGTATAAATTGGGTTTTAGCTTTAAAATGTGAAAACTTCTAGGAATCAGAGTTACTTTTGAGGAAGTTAGAAGGTCATAAAACAGCTGTTTTTCTATTTGTATAGGGTCTAGGCAAGACTTTACAGACCATTTCCCTGTTGGGCTACATGAAGCATTTTCGGGAGATTCCTGGCCCGCACCTCGTGATTGTTCCAAAGTCCACATTAACCAACTGGATGTCAGAGTTTGAGCGGTGGTGTCCAACCATCAGAGCTGTGTGCTTGATTGGTACTCAGGAGCAGAGAGTAAGTGAAACACTACTGTTTGGTCAACTGTTCATCTGTTTGACCTCATCGGTTCAAAAAAATCTGTTAAGCCATTCAACCATTCTGTTTCGAACCGCTCAGCTCTTGTATCTGTTTTTTATCTGTTTGCTTGCTGCGCATTCAGTCGTTTGAACGGATGTCATGAGGAAGGTTTTTGCATGAATTATCACATTTTTGTAATTACATGTAGCAGGCTGAAAATTTTGTTCTGAGCCCTGGTCAATTACTCAGCGCACCAGCAAGGGTCGGGTTGTTCAAAGCTGGGTTAAGATAGCCCAGTGCTAGTGCATAATTTGAATTCAGATTTAAAGTTTAAAAACCAAATTAAGTTTAATTCATTTTGTCTGCAATTTGATGTGGTAAAAAGAATAAAGAAAAGAATCCCAGAAAACAAAGCAAAGAGAAACCTGGATCAGCATGCAAAGAAAGTAGTGTCCGATAACCCGGGGCTAGTGGATTTTGTTATCAGGCTGGTGAATTCTGTTCTTATCTTGCCTGACCGGCAAGTGAAGTTTTTTTTGAGGAATTCAAATTACAGAATAACTGTGAAATCAGTTCTGCTCATCAAAGAGTTTTTGGGGCTAGTTGAAATGACGTTTGGGCAAGTACATGGTGGCCTCAGCTTGCCCAAATGGCAAGCTGTAAAAATGACTTTCTCTGCACCCTGCTGCATTAACAATTAACATGAACAATGAAAAAGTGGACCCAAGCTTTTTGTTGTCATCTTGTTTTGTTCAGTTGTCACTATTATTTTAGTCTTCACAAATGGTAATCTAAACATGACAGTGAATTGTTTTCTTGTTGTCGTTGATTTTTTACACAATGTTTGTTAATTAGCTATTTTCCCTCTGCATCTGTAGGCAGCATTTATTCGTGACACCATGTTACCAGGAGAGTGGGATACATGTATCACATCTTATGAGATGGTGATCAGAGAGAAAGCTGTTTTTAAGAAGTTTGCTTGGAGATACATCATCATCGATGAAGCACACAGAATCAAAAATGAAAAGTCCAAGGTAAGATGGAAGACCTCTCTTGGTCCCTGTGGCTAGTTTACGTGAAGTTGTGGCTCATTTGCTACTTTGACTTGGTGGATGGCTGACGTTCGTTTATGACAGGACTTAAGAGTTATAATAAAACTCCTTGACCACATTTATATACAGCTGTACATGCAAATAGGAAGCCGGTCTGCCTATTGCCAGTTGTTTTTTACATCATTAAGTTGACTTATGTTTATGTATATAGTGAACACCACCAACTCACTGAATCATATAAGAAAAAAAAACCTCACTTCATTTCAACTTCTGCATAAAAACTCTTCCCTAGTCTTTCAATGTAACATAAGAAATCCCTCATAGGAACAGACTAGATGCAACTTTTCTAAGAAACTCATGTTATTACCTTTTTTGTTCAAGTATTTGTTACTTGGAAATACATGTACATGTAAGCTGTCAGTGTTCTTAAAATAAATAGCAGATGTACATTGCCAATATAGTACACACTACTTTAATCTTTGGTTTTGTAAGGTAAATCTGACTGGTCGTCTTTTAAAATGTTTGGTTTTAGCTCTCAGAGATTGTGCGAGAATTGCGGTCAACAAATCGTTTGCTACTGACAGGCACTCCATTACAGAACAATCTTCATGAACTTTGGGCACTGTTGAACTTCTTACTACCTGATGTCTTCAGCTCAGCTGATGTGAGTCCTATGTAATAGTTTTTTGCAGAGCATGTAACTATTACAGACCAAAAAAGCAACAGTTTATTATTTTTTGCCTTTGAAGGGTATGATTACTGAGTACTGTACTTGAACTGGCACAAACAACCACCTGTATGCCTCAAGCAAGAAATATTTTTCTTTGCCATCATCCCATACCTTTACTGTTCCTCACACCTCCAACTACTCTAACTAAAAGAGTGGGAAAGTATTAACTTCTTTACAACTGCTACATCAGCATAAAAAAAAAAAATCATTCCATTTTGTTGAAGTCCAATGATATTGCTTAGCACAGAAAGAGGTAAAACTAAAAAAGTTTAAAAATGTCAGGCCAAGCCCTAATAACAGTACAGTGGTAGCGTAATAAAGTTGCCCCTGATGTCCAAGTGGTGCCACCAAGTAGGAGTTATAGTAATTTATTAGAATAAAAATTATAACATCAGACAGCTGTACTTCATTAGAGCTGCCACCTACTGCAATGTTGTCCTCATACTTATTGTCACTTGCGTAGAGTTATGAGTCTATTTTCCATTTGCTGCTGGAGGGGTGTTTAGTTTTTGATCGAGAAAAAGCAAGTCTTGGCAAAGCTAGTTTACAACCCTACATTGCTAGTTGTTCTACCCTACCCCTTTCCCCGTCACCAAAAAGGCATCTGTAGGCATGCCCTTTTTGCAGGGGATGCAAAAGGGCATTCATTCAGTAATGATTTTCACTTTGTTTTCTCAGGATTTTGATGCGTGGTTTAACACTAATTCTCTAGTGGAAGAAAAGCAGCTTGTGGAACGTCTTCACTCAGTAAGTACTCAGAGGTTGTCAGGGTTGTTCTCTAGAAGTGCCTGGCAGCTGCCTGTGACTAAAATTAGCCACTGACATGGAATTATGACTAATGTATTGAATCATGACTCAACCTTCAGGTTTTAAGGCCATTCCTTCTACGTCGTCTTAAAGCTGATGTCGAAACCAGACTTTTGCCAAAGAAGGAGACCAAGATTTACGTAGGCCTGACAAAGATGCAAAGATATTGGTAGGTTATTCTTTAAGGTGACAAACTTTTGTTTACAGTTGGAAATATTTATAGCTCAAAGGCTAGTCAGCTAGTTATCAAATAAATGTCAATTTAAAGAACAGCTCCCCCAAAAGTCTGTAGGCTAACAGTCAGTTAACTTTAAACTCACAGTCTGCCAACAGATAACCCACAGTTGGCCAATAAGTGGACAGATTTTGGGGGAAGCTGTTCCTCAATTTTACCCAAATGAAACGTAACAAAATTAGAAATCCCAGCTTCCCGAAGGAAAACCTTTTAACTATTTGCAAGCCCTAAGTGCTCCAGCTAGTAGTCAAGTGAAACTTTAAATTGGGCACCGGATTACATGTCCAGCCCTCTGCTCACTCACCCTTGTTTACCCACCTTAGCTGTTCTTTGAAGCAAATATGTAGCTGTAACTTTATAATAATATATTGGAAACAATGGGTCTTTCGGTAATGATAAAAGGCAAGATAGCTACAGCGGTTTATAAATAAATACTTAATAATCTTCCCTTGTGGAGCTTTTCAGTGATAATGAACCAAATAATTTTAATTGAACATAACATGGTTAAGAATCCCAACTGGTTGGAGGCGAACCAGTTGGCAATTTTACAAGAAAGGCAGAAAATTTTGATTTGAGACTACCCAGAACAAACTTAGCTAACAGTCAGGGCAGGACTTAAATTTGGGGCCTCTGGATTACAAGTCCAGCACTCTAACTACTTGGCCACACTGCTCTTATGAGCAATCATGGATCTAATATTCCATTTCTGTGACATAACTTAACAAGATGGTTGTGCAATAACTGATGTAACATTTTTAGGTACACCAAGATCTTAATGAAGGACATTGATGTGGTGAATGGAGCTGGCAAATCAGACAAAATGAGGCTTCTGAACATTCTCATGCAGCTTCGCAAATGTACAAATCATCCGTATTTATTTGATGGAGCAGAACCTGGTATGTGCTTGCTCCTTTATATCATCAGCACTAGTGTCACTGTTCAGCAAAATTGTAAGCACCCATTTAGGAATTGAAAGTGGTGATAAAAGCATGAGAAGGTTCTTATTTCCCTAGATGTTGCTTGTAATGTGTTAGTGCACTTGTAACAAGAATTGAAGTTACAAAGTACATGTACAAAGTACATGTACAAAGTGATCTTGTCTTGTGTTTACCATCTTACCGTCCTTGAGACCCAGGGGTTGTTATTAAATTGGGACAAACGTTCATGGTCAAAATCATTAAAGGCAAAGTTTACTAGAGGAACCGGTTAAAGGGTGTAAGGCTTGTTTATAGTGGAAAGTGTACTAAGCTTATCCAGCTAGTTTACAGGCACTTCACTCAAACAGTAGAAACAGATAATTCAAATATAACGTAACAGGATTTAAAACCCCAAGTGGCAGGGGGCAACCAGCTGGCTATTTACAAGCACAGCCGAGGATTTGAACTCGGGACAACCAAGAACAAATCCGGCAAGTGGTCCGAGCAGGACTTGAACCCAGGACAGCTAGATTGTGAGTCTGACACCCTAACCACTCAGCAACGCTGCCACCAGGCAAGCCTCAGGGGTTTCCCGGTTTTGTTATAAACTTGCCCTTAAATGTCCCATCCCAGTTACCTGCCTCTGCAACTACTACCACTTACACTTCTACTGCTACAGCACAAGGAGTTCATTATATTATGATGTTCTATTATTATTTACCGTAAATCCTCTATTAAGCCCCCCGGGGGGCTTATTTTTTTCAACAATTTTGAGGGGGGGCTTAATAGAGAGAGGGGGCTTAAAAGAGAGGGGGGGGCTTATTTAATTTAGTGAAACGCATCACCTGTAGCAAAAATACCGTGGTATGAGACAGAGTAGACTTGGGCATTGTACAATTAAAGTCACTGTCAAAAGTATTTAATTCACTTGTGGGAGCCTAAAAGTAGCAAAAACAAAATTCTTATTCTTCAAAAATGTGCTTTCGGCCTCATGTTCTTCGGTAATTTTTATGAATAAACCATAACTGATCAGTCCACGTTAATCGTTAATTTTTTGTGAAGAATAAGGATTGGGGGAGGGGGAGAGGGGGGGCTTAATAGAGAGGGGGGCTTATTAGCTTTCCTCCTCTGAAAAGGAGGGGCTTATTTGAGAGGGGGCTTATTAGAGAGGGGGCTTATTTGAGAGGGGGGGCTTATTTGAGAGGGGGGGCTTAATAGAGGATTTACGGTATTTGTTTTAATTTAAGGTCCTCCATACACGACTGATCAACACTTGGTAGACAACAGTGGCAAGTTACGTGTGCTGGACAAACTGCTTTTCCGTCTCCAGCAGCAAGGCTCCCGAGTGCTGATATTCTCACAAATGACAAGAGTGTTGGACATCCTGGAGGACTACTGTCTCTGGAAGGGCTATGACTACTGCCGTCTGGATGGACAGACACCTCATGAAGAAAGACAGTCACAGATCAATGCCTTCAACATGCCTGACAGCACCAAGTTTGTTTTCATGCTGAGCACCAGAGCAGGTGGTCTGGGAATTAACCTGGCGACAGCAGACATAGTTATTTTGTATGACAGTGACTGGAATCCTCAAGTTGATCTCCAAGCCATGGTATGCTGCTGTTGTTAATACCCCTCATGTTAGATAAGTAGCTTTTGAGGTACCTCTCCAATCAAACTTTACTGGAAATTGGCCACAATTCAATGATAAATGTTACTGGTGTCAAAGATAGGTTGTTATACTGTTGCCGTAATATTTATTGCATAGTTAGAATCACTTTTGAATTGAACGTTCGGTAAACAAAAATCGTCTGCGCAAGTGCATGCTTTTCTCCTCCTACATGTAGTTCATGTTAGACTCATAAGAGAAAGCCCTGTCATTGCTATGTATCCTGCATGTGGTATTTGGTCTCCCGTGAAAAAGAAAGAATCCACTCTGCTGTTTGGAAAAAGTGGGAGTCCTAGACCCCAACAGTGTGGGTCAATCTTTCGTAGGGGAGGGGACTGTCAAAGACAGCCTGCAGTAACTTGCTTCACACTGTTGCAATTACCCTGCCAGAAATTGGTGAATCTGTTACATCTGCATCAAAGACTAAGTGAAGCAAAGTCTTCTTGTATGAAAAAAACAAAACAATAGACTCTAACTGCTGTCCTTCATGTCAAGAGATAAGCATGCTAAGAATGTTGCCAGTGTGTAACAGCTTTTTTACTTGTGCATGTACATACAACTCTAAAAATTGTGACTATCTTTCTCCGACATTCTCCCACCCCATCCCACAACATCCCAGCCCATGAGTTACACACTCACTGTGTAATCAACTCGACTCAACTTTCTGTTTTGCTTCTTAGGACCGCGCCCATCGTATTGGACAGAAGAAACAAGTCCATGTGTTCAGATTTATTACAGAAAGTACGGTAGAGGAAAGGATCGTGGAAAGAGCAGAAATGAAACTCAGGCTTGATGCTATTGTTATTCAACAAGGTACACTACAAATCCTCTTGAGTCATTAATATTGATTTAACCCTTTAAACCTTAAGATCAAAATTTGAATTCTCATTTGTTGCCCCTATTCATTTCCTACAGAAGTAGTAGGGAGAAGTTGATAAAATATCAAGCAATCTCATCTTGTACGATCATGTCTGTAATTCTCATGACCACTCAGTTTTACAAAGCATTGATATTACAAGGAGAAATTTTATGCTGATCACTCTTTGGGTAGGTTTTTGAAAATGTTATAGAGACTCCATCCCTGATCTCAAAATTTTAAACTCAATTTTATTTCAAGAGGCTTTAATAGAGTTCTGAGGATTGAATTATGACTGTGATCTTACATTTGAGTGATGCCATGCTTTCGATGAAGTATAGATACATGTACTTGTATTAATAGTAGAATAAGGGGAAATGACTCTCATTCTGTCCATTCTCAACTTTTTACAATGATATTCTTGCATATCTGCCAAGAAAAAGCATCATAAAAGAACAATTGATATTACACTGTTATCTTTTAGGACGCCTTGTTGATCCAAACCTGAAGGTCAGCAAAGATGAAATGTTGAGCATGATCCGACATGGCGCTGATGCGGTGTTTGCTTCAAAAGATGAAGAAATTACTGATGAAGACATAGATGCAATCTTGAAGAAAGGAGAGAAGAAGGTACTGTAGAAGTGCTAGCCTACTAATTTGCTTGTTGTGCTGAATCCTTTGAGCTCGCTACTTTTTCAGGACTTCTATTTCAACATTTACTGTTTTCAAGATACACTTCACATAGTGCCAAAACAGAACATTTAAAGAGCAACACATATCAAAAGTTCTCATTGTAAAAACAGTTCACCGCACAGCATAACTGTTAATGCACTTTATAGCTTTTTATGTTGTTGACAGTCAGACAGACAGAGTTAAATGTTTTCATTGTGGAGTTCATTAGTTTTCGAATGTTTGTTTCTCAAAGAAGTCATTTGTTGAAATTCTTGGTAATCTGTCCAATTATATGAGTGTACCTTAATGTTCCTTCCATGGTTAGAAGCAAAGATGTATATATGTACAGAAATTCTAGGTTTCAAAACCTGACATTTTGTATAAAGTTTGCCAAAGTGGACGTCTTCGTAGTACCACCCAGCTTGATCCATAACTTTGTCAAAAATTATCAATTTTTTGTTGTTGTTGTTGTTGCTTTTAGACGGCTGAGATGGAAGAGAAGATGAAACAATTTGGAGAAGGTTCACTGAGAAAATTGGCTATGGATGCACCAACAGAAAGCATCTTTCATTTTGAGGGTGAAGATTACAAGGAGAAACGAAAGGTGAGGAAGGGGATGAAACTTTTTTTAAAATTTAAACGATTTAATGTGTTCTTTCCTGTGGAAACTTTTATTAAGCTGTTGAAGGTGACACCTCCTAACATTGGAGTTCAGTGTTGTGGAAATTGGTAATTACCCCGCCACGCCTCAAGAATGACGAACCAAAGGTTGTGAGAGTAAAAATTCTTTGATTCTCTCAATTAATCTTATTAGGAAATGTATGGAGATGAGTGTGGAGAATATTGGTTATGTGGATATTGGGCCTTAAAGGGTGAAAATGACTTTAGAACGTTGGGTGAAAACAACATTTTGCAAAGTTAAGTGTATTTCTCTTTGTTTTTTTTTTTTTTTTTTCCAATTGAAGACCGGTGGTATACATCACTGGATTGAACCCCCAAAAAGAGAACGTAAAGCTAACTACGCCGTGGACGCCTACTTCAGAGAAATGTTGAGAGTCAGTGAACCAAAAGCACCAAAGGTAAGACCTCACATGTAAAGATCTCAAGTTGCTAAAATAGATTTCTCTGTAACCGATAACAGTGTTTGCACGGGTCATGAAAGACGTGGAAAGGTATGAAATTTAAGAATTTCGTTTTCCAGGCCTGGAAATGTATGGATTTTAATTTTCAGTCCTTGAAAGTCATGGAAAAATTAAGTTATGTTTGGTAGATCAGTTGCTGCAGATATCAAAGCAAGGACAATGTAAGATAGACACGAGTAAAAAATATACAGCGTGAACTGCGCGCATTTTAGTGAACACACAAGTTGGTTTGTGCTGAACTGAGTTAGGGCAAAAAGTACCCTAAAACATGGAAAGTTTGGAAAATTTCCTCGAACGTGACATCCTAACCTAAAGGCATCGAAATCATGACACGGTCATGGAAAAAATCATGGAATTTCAAAATATCAAAGGAGTAAGAACCCTGCCTAAGGTCAGAAGTAAAAACGAGTGCATTACAGAACAAACTCTAATTTATAGCTAAGCCCCATACCTAAGAAAACTTGGTTATCTATCCATCCGAAAAATTTTGGTAATCACGTGACCGTACGCCCGTCCGTCCTTCTGTCCGCACCAGGGGGAGACCAATGTGAAATGTCAACGTTCTATCTAGTGTGGGAGCCTGTAACCTGTGTTTAACTTGATAATAGACATCCATGTTGTGGTCAATTGACAGCTGTCAATACAGGGTATCCGCTGACCAGTGTCCCATGACCGTATCACGGGCTCAGGTGTCATCTCATTGAGGTCACGTGTTTTTTTCAAGTTTTTCGCTCAGTAGTTCTTAGCTTTTAATTGATGGCAGGCTCAAGTTTACGTTTGTCAGTCATATACTGTGGATTTCCTGGCAATGGTTTAAAAGTCCATTGTATGAAGTAAATTTAAAATGCATAAACGGGAGCTTCGCTTTTAGCTCGAGCTAAATCTATGTTTTATCCTTGATCTGTCTGATGCAGGCACCAAGACCTCCAAAACAACCTAATGTACAGGACTACCAGTTCTTCCCGCCAAGACTGTTTGAACTTCTGGATAAAGAGATATATGCCTACAGGAAGAGTATCGGATACAAGGTGGGGACGCTTAGCAATGACTTCGCTTATTGTTGACACTCAGGAATTGTCTTCCCCTTTTTAAAGAGGCTCATTGAAGACTTCCATGCAGCGGTCCCTTTTTGACCCTGACACGGGTCCGGACAAATATTTGAACGGATAAAAACTTGCACGGATGCGCCTTTCCGCGTTTACACGGCACCCGTGGAAGTGTGCAAGGTTTTGATCCCCAAAGTTTGTAAACAGTACTGCCATCTCTAACACAATTTGCACGGGACCCGTGTAAACGGAGTCTGAGTACCTGAAACAATCTGATCTTAAAGTCGATGTCTTAAGTTGATTTAGTTTGCCGTTCAGGGAAGAGCTGTAGCTGGGTGGAGCTGTAGTCGCAGTTCTTTCGTTCTCATAGAAGTGGCGTGCAATAGAAATTTTGGATCAATTAAGGTTTCTGGGAAATTGCCCACCTACCCCTCACCTAAGTCAACATTAACACTTACTCCTCACTTAGTGCAAAATGTTGGATTAGGGGAGGGGTAGGTGAGTAGTTTCCAGAAAACCTAAATTGGTCCGAAATTTTTGGTCGCTGTCGCTTTTTGGTGTACTTAATAGTTTACAGGCACGAGGAGCTGTCTTTCAACTACGATGGAGCGTTATTTCGGCGGCGAATTTTCTGCAGCGAATTCCCCATATGACTGAAGTAAACAGCTCTTGGCCGAAAACAAATTCCGCCCAAAATAGAGCAATGTTTGTTTTTCTAAAAGGAATTTTTGTCATGATCATCTGTCGAACTTAAAACTATTGTTTGGTCAGGTTCCGCGTGATCCTGAGGACCCACAAGGTGCTGAGAGGCAGAAAGAAGCTCAACGGTTAATAGACGAGGCTGAACCGCTTAACGAGGAGGAAGTGACAGAAAAAGAACAACTGTTACAAGAGGTACATTTGGTTTGAAAATTCATTTTGTCTTTTGTAGTAAACTTTTCAGGTAATAATGATCTTGTCTACAAAGCGAGAGGTCGCGGGATTTATCCCTGGCCTAGACTACATCATCAGGGTCTTGGAATAATATCGGAAGAAAAGAAGGTACTACCTGTGTCCTGCACACGCCTAGACTGTCACGTGAGACGGGTCACCGCTTGGAGCTTTAGTAACGACGACGGCGGTAGCCTGTGTCAGGCTCTCAGATAGTATGGTGGAACGTATTAAAACGAGCAAAGCGAAAATGAGACGCGCACGACTTGGGAAAGGGGGCGGAGGCGGCGGGAAAAATGGGCGGTTTTCGCATTTCTTTTTACTGAACGACTTTCCACCACCATCTCAGGAGCCTGGAACAGGCTACGACGGCGGTGGCAGCGAAAACGTCACTTTAAACTGGATTCCGCGGTTTTTTTTTTTTTTTTTTTTAAACTTTTTCGCGTTTCTTTCCAACTCGCTTACAGTGTCAGTGTTTGTGAGTTTCCCTGCAGTTAATTTCTTGAGGACCATACCAATAGTTCAGAAAAGAGAGAAAACAACTTGTCGTAAAAGTAAATTTCACGTCTTAAGGGCCTGTTTACATGGATTGGGGAACCCCGGTCTAGTGGGGTTGGTTTCTTTTGTTTTCACGCTCTGGGGGACACAAAACAAAAGAAACCTACCCCACTCGACTGGGGTGCCCCACTCCATTTAAACAGGGTCTAAGTCGTGCAGTGACGGCGAAGTAGAAAAAAGCGTGATGCACGTGCAGAGCTGTTTTGCTTATCAGACCTATTCAATTGCTTTTTGATGTTCTCATTGTGGTCGTCTTTGCTGAAGATCCCTAATACTGGCCTCAGGCTACTGTCACTTCACAACCATATTTTTCTTCACGTAGGGCTTTACAAACTGGTCTAAGCGAGAGTTCAACCAGTTCATCAAAGCTTGCGAGAAGTACGGTCGAGACGACCTGGACAACATTTGCCAGGATGTGGAAGGAAAGACTCCAGAGGAAGTAAGAGCGTATGCTACAGTGTTCTGGGAGAGAAAAGACGAAATGACGGATATCGACAAAATTATGGCGCAGATTGAGCGCGGAGAAAGTAAGATTCAACGGCGAATCAGCATAAAGAAGGCGCTTGAGGCCAAGGTAGGAAACGTTTTTGTTGCTGTTTCACCTTCCAGGGGTCAATGAGGTAGACACGTTATGTTGCAAATTTGAGTCTAAGTATAATTCTGTATTGTTGTGTTCACATAACAGCTACTGAGTAGGACTTTCACATGATGCTTTTTGTTATGAACTTGGCTCTAACTTTCGAAGTTTTGGACGAAATTGTATGGTAAAGTCCATTCTCACATAAAACCAGTAATCAGCCTAGTTTAATCCTGAATTTCCTTTATTTCCTCGCCCTAAATATCTTCAAGAAAGAAGTGAAATCCTGGTTTACAGTAAAACGGAAATGAAACCCTTTCGTTAGTACTTTCACATGGTGCTATTCGTTTTTTTACGTTGTTCTAACTTTGGTGTCCGTCGATAAAATTCTATGATGTTACCAATTAAGTGGAATTTCATCGGCAGTACCTTTCGTGGTGTCATTTGTTTGTCGGTAATTTGCTCAAGTTGAAATTCTCTAATTCTTTACTTTTGCGACTTTTGGGATTTTAATGAGCACTAAATGTGATCCCTCTGCCCACTGGAACAATTTTGAGGTAATGTTTAACATGTTTAGCGAAAGGCATTTTAAAATTTTAACAGTCTACCCACATTTTTTCTCTTTGTGTTAACTGTATTTTGTTTCTTATATTCAGTTTCAGTTGTTGTTGTTTTTGTTTTTTATCAGATGGCCCGTTATCGCTCTCCCTTCCACCAAATGAGGATCGCCTACGGAACAAACAAAGGAAAGAACTACACAGAAGAAGAGGATCGCTTCTTGGTTAGCTTAAAAATCCTTTTACATCCCCTTTCTCGAAGTCTGTAAGGCTATACATTATTTTTTGTTTGTGTGAATCCTCCGCGGCGGTTACCGTGGGGCCTATCTGATGTGAAAACTGAACAAAAACTCCCGCGCAGAAAATTATGATAAATCGCATCTGAATTCGAGGAGACAAGGATTTCGCTGACACAAATCGCCATAAATTGTCGCTATAACCTCTAAACTCGGATCGAAGCATCCCACTTAAAATCCCCTTTTGTAGCAAGAGATACGGTTGCTTAACATTCTAACAGGGACATGTAGCAGCTCTCCTAGCCCCAAAAGCCAATTGGTTCGATACCCTAACCGTGAAATAATAGGAAATAATGATAAGCAATGATGTTATTGTTTTCTGCAACCAATGTGGAAACACCTTACGAGCAGCTCCTACATTACTCTTGTAAAAGGGACTAATTTCTTTGTGATATTTCCCCGTCAGATTTGTATGCTGCACAAGCTCGGATTTGATAAGGAGAACGTGTATGATGAACTGAGGATGGCGTGCAGGAGCGCACCACAATTCCGGTTTGACTGGTTTCTAAAATCCAGGACAGCACAGGTGTGTCTGAATTGAATGTCGTAAAATCAAAACCAAAGGTACTTCTCTGGCCAATCACAATACGCACAGGCTATCGATTGAACCAATCAGAGCTGGAAACGCGAAGCGCGGGAAAACGCATGTAAGCAGATCACGATTGGGTTTGATATTCATCCTGATTGGCTGTATAATATGCACGGGTGTACTCAGCCAATCATATCGCACAGCGATACTGAGGGCAAGTCTTTACTAAATTTCTATTGGTTGCAGAATTTGGCAGTTGTTTTGATGCTTTTTGTTCACAATTGCAGGAGCTTCAGCGTCGTTGTAACACACTGATCACTTTGATCGAAAGGGAAATGATGGAGCTCGAAGAGAAAGAAAAGGCCGAAAGAAAGAAACGAGGAAAAGGTGCTGGCGGGACACCCAAGGTATGCTCACAAAATTAAGACGGCGACGTTCTTTTTATTTTTCTGAACTTGCGTATAGTCCTTAGAAATTCAAGTCCAGAAAAAAAGTCGCCAACATTTGACAGTTTGAACGAAATGGAGTAAAAACAGCGCTAATTCATTTTTTAACTGACGATTTTGTTACTTCGCCGTCGGGGTTACGAAAGACAATGCAAATGCCAGGACCAGTTGCTACATATATGACACGCAATATCACAAGCTTAGCACCGGAAAGTTAAAGCGCCTAATGTGATGGAAACCTAAGTTGTAATCCTTTCTTTTTAGTTACAAAATAAGCTTTCGCGCCGACTTTGTTTGTGCCTTATGTCAATATTCGCCGCAAATGTTTGAAAGAACTAACATGCGATTTTTCTTTTCTTTTTTTTGTTTTTTGTTTTGTTTTTTCCAGGCTCAAACACCAAGCAAAGACGAAAAGAAACGAAAAGCCGACGGGACGCCTGACGGTCGTGGCCGCAAAAAAAAGAAACAGTAGAACAGAATTCATTACAAGTTCGGTTCAAATGACATTAACTCGCAGCCTTTCCTAGTCAAGTTTTTCAATGCTATCAGTATCTTCCTTGTATTATAGAAGCACAAAATTCGTATTTATAGCTGTTTTAAGTTCAATGTTTCTCTTTTTTTCGCTGTTAGTATCAGTTTCTAACATTTTAAAAATTGTCACAAATTTCTACTACCATTTCGCAATGCAAATGCCCAAAGCTAATTGATTGCCTCGTATAAAATGAATAAGGAAACCTGTAGATCTCAAATTTTATGGCATTAAAAGTTTTTATGATAAAATGAATAGATTGTTTGCTTACCTTTCGCCGTGTGTGGGAAAGACTTAGAATGTAAAAGGCTTTTATATGTCCTTTTATTACTTTGGGTTCGTAAAGAGGTCATAAAAAAGTCTGTGAAAAAGCTAAAGATGGTCGAAAACAATTTATTGACGGCTTTCAAACGAAGAGGGAACGTAAGGGTGCTTTCCATTTGTCATAACTGACTGGTCAGCCCATTCACATACTAACATGAATTTCACTTTTATTGAAAACTATCAAGTCAGATAAGTCAAATCCTAAATAGTGGGCATGACTGTCAACATTTCGCAGTAAAAGCTCTTTGGAAAAAGCCTATTTCATTTTCAAACCGACTGGTCGGGCAATGGTCCGGCCCGCCAGTTTTGACAAATGGAAAGCTCCCCTAATTTCTAAACAGCTTTAGCTGGCCACAAAGCGGAAAAACATTTTCACATCCGCGTGAAAACATTTAAAATGTTAGCAAAATGTAATAAACAGATATTTACTAAATTTTATACATTTAATTAGTCATAAGTGTTGAACTGTCAAGGTTGTCCAATTCAATCTTTAAACGAAGTATGTCTTTTCTATTTTGCCAGGTTTTGATTTCTCTTTTGTTCTTCTGTTTTGCTTCCTCTTGTAAGCGGGGACATCCTTAGGACTTCCGCCGGAAAGCGAACGTTCTTTTTCACTATCATCTGCGTCATGTCCGCTTGAATAAAGTGTCCTTTCAATTGATTTGTCCTTCCCTCCATCTTTACTTGAAATGGGTACTGGTTTATTAATGTTCTCAAAAGCGTCCTTGCCCTGGCCACTGCTTTTAAGATTGCCGTTTTTATCAATTGCAGCATCTAAATTAGCAAGCACAAGCGAACTAGGAATGTCTTCGTTTTTGTGAAGACCTGAATCTGGAGGTGAAACGGTTTCATCCGGGTTTGACAGAAATAACGGCACTCTCTGGGGCCCTGGTGTGGCATCGTGTTTAGTTCCTGATGGGGCCATCATGTGATGGCTGAGGGTGCCACCCAACTCCTCCGAGGTATCCTGATTTTCAGTACTGTTCTTCGGTTCCTTGGAGATACTCGTTTCCTTTAAAAGCTCATCAACGCTGACTGAGGTCCAGTAATTACACCCTTCAACCACCCCGTGTTCCAAATAGCTCTTAACTGGCTCCTCAATTAAATGCACTGGAATTCTTTTTTTAGAATCCTCCCCACTACATTCATTTGGAACGCCTTTGCATGATAAGTGAAAGTCTCTAACACCAACCACAGCATCTGGAACACTGTCCTCTTCCTCGCTAAACCCCACGTTAGTAGTTCCTTTGATATCGAAACTTTCCTTTTCCGACTCGCAGCCATCGATGTTATCTCTACGAATTGTGTTTGGGCTTGCGCCGTCTAATTCCTGTCTCACCATGGACTGCGCATGCGCTGTCTGTGACTGCGCTGGACTCTTTTCAGTGTCAGTAACAGTTACCTGAATGTCAGTTCTTGAGTCTTTGGAGCATAACTTCTGTTTCCTGCCAGCATCCTCAAAACTGAATCTCTTCGTGTCGTCCTTTGCTAGTGGACTAATGGTTGCTTTCTTGTCAAGTGAACTCCAGCTGTTCCGATAACACTTTAAGTCAGTAGAAGATTGTGATCGGCCAATGGGAGGAGGGCGACAGAGAGGCGACTGTTTGAGGGAACCAGGCCTGCGCCCACCGAGGTCAACACTCAGCAAATGCTGGAGCTGTAGGAGGAGAATAATGCAGATGTATATGGAAAAAATTCAATTTCAATAATTAAATCGCTTATACACTCCCTGGGGAATAAGTTTGGCGGAAAGGGTTTATAAACGGTTGGGCAATATTTAAAGAGCTTATTCATTCTCCTTGGCCAATCCCGGTCCCAAGGGAGCGGATTACCGCGGATAGCCTGCTAGCAAACTCCCTTTCTTTTCCGTTCGTTTGTCCTCTGAGTCGCCCTTAGAGATTTTTCACAAAGCTTGCTCGCAGGCTAGTGACGGAAAGAAGGGTTCAATCACAACAATCTTTGGCGATCCGAACCAAGATGGATGGGCTGCGAATGAAAGAAATCATGACAGGAGCATTATCACGGACAAAAAATCTTGAAAGGTGATCAAGGCTAAAAAGTGTGTAGCCTTTTCGCAGCGCCTCTCCCTTTAACTCTTTGCGCCATAAAGTAATAGGGAAAGGAAAGGAGTTGGCGCACAGGATAACTGAAAAGGAATAAAATTAAAACTTTCTCTGACCCCTACCTCTCTAAGTTCTCTGGAAATCTTTCTGTCTTCTCGTTCCTTCCTTTTTAAGGAAGGTGTTGTATCGCACCAAACCGAATTCAAAATGCTCACTTCCCCCAGCTGTTTTTTCAACTCCGCGTTCTCCTTAACCAGCCGAGACACTTTCTCAGCCTCATCGCTTGGGGCGTTCTTAATATTCAGCTCAACAATTTGCCTATTTAGTTGCGCGTTCTCGTACAACACTTTGGCCAGTTTGCCACTCTCGAAAATCCTAGCTTCCTGTAGTTTTCTGTGGAGTTCCTTATTTTCCGCTTTCAAGACTAAAACAGGATCTGCGAGATCTGAATACAAGGAACCAAGGTCCAGCGATTGTCCATGCCAGTATGGCCCAGAGAAAGAACTTGACCTTTTCCTCCGTCGTATTTTTACACCCAATTCTTTTGCAGTGTTGCAGGTGACAGAACGCTTTCCAAGTTGCGGTCTCGGAGATGGTCGTGGGGAAGGCGAAATTGTTCTCCCTGCTCTGCCATTTTCAATCGGATTAGCGACCTTAACTGACAGTTTCGAAGTCTCTTTTTCTTTATATTTGTCTTTTATCGTTCGTATTTCTTGCTTAAGCGTCGTTATTTCTTCTTGAAGTCTCATGACCACATTTGGGTCTTCTGCGAGCTGGGATCCAGAAGAGCTGCTACTTGTACCCCTAGTCTTGGATGGGGTGCTCCCAGTGGAAGACAGGGACTGCAGGCGATGTAAATCCTCTTCAACGTTCTTTTTGAGCTTGATTATCTGTGATACAAAGCAAAAACGTCAGTTGTTACATGGGAATTACGTTGCCAGTTCCTGTACCGGAGGCTGAGGTCATAGCTATCATACTGGATTCTCCGAAGTCTAGAAGGGTCGAATAATCAAGTCAAAGTGCACATTTCTGTGAAATATCCATCTTCAACCTTTCTAAGGGTCCTAAGGGGAAAAAAAATGGTAATTGATTATTTTTTCACCCGAAAAATGGGATTTGAGAAACTGGGACTGGGTTCTTATTACACTCGTCTGCCGCTGTCATGCGCTCTTGCCAATGTGAGTGGGATTTGCGGGAAAATGAGTAAGATATTGAGAACTACATAGGGGCTCCTCGATCCTTCCGCCAAACACACTCAGACCTCCTTCCGAATCCTCTTGAAATAGAGAGGTCCCCCGTCTTTGCAGAGGATTCTAACCCCCTCCACTATAAAGGGCGAGAGAGAATTCGCCTGCATTTCTAAAACACAGCTGTAAATGCCAAAGATCTAAGCTCACTTCGTAAGGGGTTGAAGGTGGGCTTATAAACGTAGAGGCCTGTATCCGATCCAGGGGTGGGGGGGGATATAAAGAAGCTATAGCAAGGCTGATCAAAATTCGTTTTGCATGTGCGGATTTTAATTAAGCTTCCAAATGTCATAATAAATTGATTTGAGTTCATTAAAATACAAACTAGAGTGGGGCTTATAACCGCGTGAGGTCTTTGTTTACAGGTGGATGGGCCTATTGTAAATTTAAGACGAGCGTTTATGAGGAAGTTCTGAGCTCGCACTGACCTTGGGTATAAAGAGAAGGCACAACGTCACTGTCGAGGCAAGCAGCAGGATGAATGACATACAAGCAACAAGAGCGTTTACGTGATCATTAATCAAGAAGGACAGCGGTATTCCGACTATGACACAGAGTACTATGGTACACACGCTCATTGACACCAAACGCGAGTCATTGAGCGAGTGGACTTTGGCCCTGCGTGTGACCCACGCGATGAAACAGCAAACCAGCAATAGGAGTACTTTGTATCCAAGTAGAATGTATAACCACGTGGTTAAATATTTGGACGTGCAATACTGATGCTGTGGAATAATCCTTTGATTAGCTTCTTTTCTCACCTACAGAAAGACAAACTAAGAAAGTGATATCCATCTTCACTAAAACGAAAAAAGGAGGGGATTATAAGATACACTTTGCCGCTATTTAGGTGGGCGGGGGGGGGGGGATGTAGGCCAATACCAAGTTTGGCGAAATTGAATAAAAGCAGATAGGCTGTTCCAGACGTCCAGATTGTGAAGTTGGCGCAAAGATGCGAGCAGCAAAAACAGCGAGGGGCTGAGGTAGGAACAGGCTAAAATATAGAAAGATTGCATGCGATACTAACCTGTGACTCCAGATTAATTGTAACAATCTCAGGAGTGTCCACACCAACCCACAGTGACATCACCAGTATATCAAGTAGCACCAGGATCAATATCAAGCCTGTTAGCTCCCAATTTGAGAAGATCTAAGGAACCGGAGGTTGAGATATGAGAAAAGATATGAGAAGAGTTGTATAGACTAGCAAATAAACAAGGTAAACAGCATTGTGAAATGCTCTGAAAACTACTGAAGACTGAAACGATTTGAATTTTAGTGGTAGGGATTTCTTTAAGATTATTTTAGCCGAATTTTTACTTCGTTTACCTGCCAGTCTGCAACTTTGTAGTTTGCATTTGCCGCACACAGTTTTGATATCAGTTTGGGGAAATCAATGATAAGTGACCGACGAACTGAGTTTGGCCATTGCACCCGCTTTCGTTTTACTTAACGTCAGCAACGTAAAAAGAGTAATTGGGTTACTTTTCTCCTGGCCCGGGTTGTTCAAACGTTGGATAGTGCTATCCACCGGATAAATCACTATCCAGCGGATAGTTATTAGGGAAACCGATGGAGCTATCCACTGGACAGTGCATGATTTATCCGGTGGATAGCGTTATCCACCTTTCGAACAACTGGGACCTGATCTTTAAGCCACACTGCTTCAATTATCATTTCTCTGCCATAGGGAGTATTCTCGACACTCTCTACCATATATCTATATATCTTCGTAATAGGTTTTAGGAGGGCTAATAAACGGAGGAGCTTATATAACCCGAACAGAAAAAGCGCTTCGAAACAAGCTTTAGCGGTGCTGTCCAAAAGACGTTTTACATTTGCTGGTTTTTAAATCAAGGCAAAACATTCGCAGAGGGACTTATAGTGGAATGTATTTTCTTTGCTGTTGACAGGTCGATGGTCTTATAATTAGACGGGGGGAGCTAAAATGGGGGAGCTTATGAACGGGAGTATGGCCACTCGAACAGTTTCTATATCAGTAGACCCTGTGAGGAACAATGAAGCTCTAGAAAAATACTTATAACCTTTCCTACAAAGAGTGGCTACCTTGCTGAAGACTAGAGATTGAGGGACTTAAGTTAGGAGAATATTATTGCATGTACCTTTCGTCTGGGTTTAATGTTGCTGAAGATCTGGTACACTCTCCATGTTTTTGAAAACATCCCACCAACAGCCAGACTGTACCCAATAGAGAGGAGATAGCCTCGAACCTTAAAACCAAAAACACACTTTGTTGGAGCATTTTTAAGGTTTTTAATCCTTTTTTAACAAGCAAAGTATTCATTCATACATAAAGCGTTTTCCGCTTAGAGCAAGTGTTAGTACTACTCTTTTTGGCTCTAATGCTTGTTAAATTTTAAAGTGAACCTTTCATGAAGCCCAAGCGGCAAGTTTGTTGGCGAGCGCACGCATAAAAGAGCGCCGAAGCCGCGAAAGAATTCAAAACCGCTAGTTTCTCATTGCCTCTCCCCGGTCCCAGAGCCACCAGCTACGCAGGCTAGAGTGCAGGCTACCAGTCGTGACACAGTACGGAGCAATTGCACTGCCAGAGACTAATGCACACTCTCCCCCCACCCCATACCCAAAAGGACAGGCGTGACTTAGCCTGCATAAGGAAAGCAGAGGGTTTCCAGTAGGTTTTCGGGATCCGGGATTTGCGTCATTTGCGGGTTGGGATTTGGGATCTTAAAGCAAAACGGGGACGAGATTCGGGATTGAAAGTATGCGCGGGATGCGGGATGCCGAAAATAACCAGCGGGATTACGGGATTGAGCAGAAATTTGAATCGGGATTACGGGACTGAGCGGAAATTTGAATCGGGATTACGGGATTGAGCGGAAATTTGAATCGGGATTACGGTATTGGGCAGAAATTTTAATCGGGATTACGGGATTGAGCGAAAATTTGGGTCGGGATAAGGGAATTGAAGAACCCTATTAGGGACCTTCAAAGCAAGCGGAACTGTCAACTGTATGTTCAGTAACAGAAACAAAGAGGTAACCTTACAATGCATAATCCCAGAAGGTCATCTGTATCAGCTCTCATCCCGTCTATAGCGATCATATACACAGATATATAGATAAACAAACATCCGAGGACTACAAGATTGTTTACGTTTGGACTTGATGACTTAATATAGCTGAAAAAATAAACACAAAACAGCTAAATGCTACAACAAAATGTAAAATGAACGGTGGAATTGTCCCATTAAAATATGTAAACAAAAGAAGAAGAGGCTGCAGTTCTTTATATTTCAAAAAAAGGTCGATATTTGCTTATGTAACCATGGGGAACTGCTTCTGCGCCTGTGAGATTTTTGGCGGCGAGGCTGCAGTTTCGCCGCGACATCAGAAGCCATCCGCACGGCTTCACAGCTCCTTTGCCAACACTTCGCTCGTGCCTCTCGCAGGCCTCGCAGGCTTTTGACACACCAGTATACTTAACGGCCCTTTAAAATCCAAAAACACTTTACGAAGAAACTGATTTTCACTCGAGTACATCTTGTCAAGAAACTTAACTTTGGGTAAGGGCCAGCAACAACAGAAAAACAACAATGCCAGCATACACACCTGTAATTTCGCTTTTCGATGTTGAACCAAAGAAAAGATAATCCAAGCAAAATTCCTGCACTGGTAAAGATGATAATCACACAAAACAGAGGAGTGGAAATGTACTGCACCTCATATATGGTGACTTTACCATCTAAAGGAGGGTCGTTACCTTCGCAACACAAAACAAAAAGCAAATTGAATATAAGAACTGAACGAACTCTCCAAATTCTTCAAATTACTGTTGTCTAGGAAAAGCGACGCTGATTTATAGTTTCTGCATGAAATCAAATTGCTGTCTATACTGCGAAAAAGGAAGACTTATTTTGGCCTCGACTGCAGGTGAAGGTCAGATGAAGATAAGAACTGAAGGAATGCACAAAACTGAGCCGTAACGACTTACAGCAGATGAACTAAGGTGTCGTAATATATTGTTGTAAAACTGCGTGCGTTTATAATATGTTAACCTGACGCAGGTAACAAAAGTGGATAAAATTTGATTATACCGCAATAAAAATTAAACATAAAATACCTTGCCAAACTACTTTAGTACCAGAAAAGACAGTCTTGTTTGTCTCGGGATAAAACATGGCTACTACTGTGGAAACGCCGCCTGGAAAAAACGAACACAAGATCAACAAAGAGAACATGAAAAATGGTGAAGGCCCCGGTGGAGGTATTACGTATTCGGAGCTTTCCGTAAAATATACGTTCCTCTCTACTACAAAAAAATAAGAATCAAAATCACCAAAAATCATAAACCATCGTCTTCCTATTGAGCCATAGTAAAAAATTAAAACCAGCATTAGCAGGCCGAAACTGGGACAAATGCCTATATCGCCTATACCTAGAAACCACATCGCCAAAGTAGTAAAAAAACCCTGTAGTTCATACAGGGTGTAATTCCTCTACTCCATTATAACAGTGACCGTCTTTATAGTGTCTTACAAACTTACCCTGTAGTTGTTTGATGCAAGTAGGACGAGTTCTTTCACCTGTATTCGTAAATTTGACATTTCCCTAAAAAGAGGGAACAGTGATTTTGTTTTCATGGAAGATAATAGTATTGAATTTGTGACGTGAATGTTAACAATCATTATTTCATATTCAGCCGTTTGCAATAGTGTAAAATGTCAGCCGTCCCTTCGCCCTACCCACCCACCCTCCCCATTTCCCAAATGGGCGGTGGGGCGAAGAGTAGCTGGCATTTCATTTCCCTATGTTAACAGACAAATGCTTAGCCCTCACGCTACTCAGGAAGTCAATTCTGCTTTTCAGCTTCACCTGGAGATTTGATAACCTCAGGTCCTGATTAGTCTATAAAAGTATCAGTCTATTCGATATGCTAAAATGGCCATCATGGTATTGGTATCAGTATTTTAGTTCGATCAATAGAAATGTACATTCCTACCGTTACTCCACGGAACTCCAATTTCCTTAGCGTATTTTTAAGGATTTCCACCATGGCACTATCTTTGTAGTTAAAGTTCTCTAAAGATCTGTTCAGTTTAGTGTAGATTTCGTGCAATGAATTGTTCAACGTCAAAGCAATTAACCACACGGAGTCGAATGCAAACGGTACGTAAAGGTCCGTCCTGTTTTTGTTTGCCGCTCCGTAGGTCTGAAGATACTGTTCAGAGGTCTAGACAAAATATAAAGCAGAAATTTGACATCTGGCAGGACCATTAAGATATGCCACTAATAGTGATAATGTTTTTGCTTCGGAGCGCTTTTTTTTTTCAGCCTAACATGCAGATTTTTACTTAAGTTTAAGGAGCATGCCTTATTGGGTGGCGCAATGGTGAGAGCAGTCGCTCCCACTAATGTGGCCAGGTTCAGATCCCTGCGTCGACAGCATATGTGGATCGAGTAGTTTGTCAATGGTTCTCTCCATTGCCTTGGGAGGTTTTTCTCTGGGTACTCCGGTTGTCCCCTCCCCTCAAAAACCAACAATCCCAAATTCCAATTCTTTCAGGAAACAGGTAGATGAAGAACTACCAAATGCGGGATGTGCCACCTCTAAATCGTTATTTATTCATTTTTTCATTCATTCATTTATTTATTTAGTAATCCTTTTTCTTTAATTACTTCCCCCGGAGTTAGTTCAGTTTCTAGGAGCTTGCATTTACCCTTCAACGGAGTATCTACCTCAGCTCTCTATGTGCCCGACGGTCTGTCTATCTGTCTGTCTGTCTGTCTGTCTACCTTCCTATCTGTCTGTTTGTCTGTAGTGTCTGTCCGTCTATATATCTGTTTAGTTACCTATCTATATATGCTTAAACTTGAATCTACTTGTGCAGTAGACGTTTAAAAATTGACATGTTGACTTACAATTTTTGCTACGGTTGCTTTCTTATTTGACACAATTCTGGCGCTCTCAATAGAGAAGTATCCCTCAACTGCTTTTGTCATTTGCTCCACCGTGCATCTGACCTCATTATCTTTGACCTGCCACCACAGTTTATTGTCGTACCAGTCTAGTAAAAGCCACACGTAGTTCTCTCCATATATGTCTTGTTTGAACGCCTATGATGACAAAATAAATACATCGTTGAGTTGCCATTTTATCAAATAAGTTTACAAGATAAACTGCACACCGTTCAATGATTGAACAGGAGACTCAGTTTTAAACTTTCAAGTAATGACTATGTGAAAATGGTTCTCACGCCAACTGGGAGCGATTACACTTATATATTATAAGATTTTTTCTGAATAAAATTTGAAAGGACCTGAAAAAGCAACTTTTCTCTCAGGAAGATATGGCTTCAAATAATCCATTGACTTTGAGTTCTAAATAGCCTGTTTCAGGCTCCGAGATAGTCGGGTCCCACTCATATTTTCGCGCGTTTCATTTACTCGTCACCCCTACAATCTGAAAGCCTAGAACAGGCTAAGTTCAAAATGTCAGTTTTAAAATAATTATGAAAAATCTGTCACCTTTGCTGAGTCGTAGTAACAGGTTAGAGCTAAGTAATTCACAGCTGAGATACTCGACTACAAAAGAACAAAAATTATTTACCTCACAGAGGACTTTTCTCGCATTTTCCTCATCAAACATTCCTACGATGATGCGGGCATCACTTGTCTGTTCAAGAGAAAAAGGTTACTTTTAATAGCTTTAAAATCACAAGTGCTTCAAACATTGAGATATAATGACTCAAGATTCGCTCATCTCGCTCCACGTAAGTGAATCCAAAACAGTCCTGGATTCTGGACTCCACACAGTGGATTCTGGATTCCTTACCAGTGGAACTTGGAGTTCAATCGTTGGCGAAATTCTGGTTTCCTTAGGCTAACTTATGAGTTCTCCAAACTAGGATTCCGGAATCCTCAAGCAAAACTTTCCCGGATTTCGGATTCCACAAGAAAACGTTTTACGGATCACAGTAAAATTTGGAACGAACCTTTTAAAATGTGCTGGTCTTTGTTCAGACTTACCTTTAGAGATTCAATACTAGACTTTGGATCATCACTGAATATCTCTGCCGCTATCAAATCAAAGCCATCGTTTAAAAGATTTTCTTGGAACATATGCATAACCTGCCAAAATACATGCAGTCTCTTGTAAGCTAAATAGATTTTCATATGTAACAAAACTATTACAAAAATGTATCAGGTTGTTTATACTTCATTATAGGCGCCTTGGTCCAACGCGCGAAACTGAGATGGCTCTTCTGTGAAGACCTCGAGCGAAACGTCAGGCATTTGACTGGGCAAAAACCGTTCAGTACCTCATTAAAAACGTATTCATTTTGTCGTATGGTGGCAATTCTTTTCCAGCGAAAGTATCTCAGGAAAGCCAATCTGGCAGCGTTCTCGGCAGAGTAAGGAGGAACAGTGCTGTACACCAATGGAAACTTGTCTTTGTTAGACAGATCCGAAGCCATGGGAGAGTAAGAAACCTGATGGAAACAAAAAACATTCGAGACTTGAGATATGAGATCGTGATAATGTCGGTTCAGAAGAAGCTTTCGGATAGTATAGGACGTCTCCAAAGCATTTAACTCGCAGAGTGTTCCCCAAGATATTTGATAGGAGTTGAGAGGGAAATGGATGCCAACCTACAAAAAGTTCTCTTTTTTCTTTCATCTAATAGAGTCTTACTTTTTGTCACAACTTGTCGAGAAGCACCTAAATTTCTTACATACATACTGAGATATACTCAGTGAAAAGCTACGTTGTAAATTTTACATACGCAAATGAGTGGTAACCAATCAAAGGAGCGAATGATGTTTCTCACACGTAAAAAAAATGATACTGATGTCCAATCAGAATCGCGAACAATGTTTTTTCACATGCGGGAAATTAAAATGATAGTCCAATCAAAAGCCACAGCGGTTCGTGAGTTTCTCGCCAAGTTTCCCGCCTTTTTTCAAAGTGCTTGCAGTGCCCTCGCTTCGCTAGTAGCGGAGTTGTTTGCAGTCATTTAACAAAGAAATTTGTTGAGTTCATAAAGAAGAGTTTTTCTGGTGGAAAAGCGAAAACAGTCCGGAAATTGGAATAGAATAGCTTCGTATTTTCATTGTCACTGAAAAACAATTATAGAGAGCTTGCAAAATAACAAAAGAAAGAAAAATATCAAGTACGTTTGAGTTGTTCCTTTAATATGAGCTATTGTGACTTCAACAGGCCAGTTGCACGATGACGTCATCTTACCACTATGACCAGAATCCTTATCATTTTTCTTTTCATGTTTAATTTTGGTAATCACAGCAAGGTGTAAATTACAAAAGCGCTCATTGTACAAGAAAGCAAAACCAGGAGGATTCTGGTCGTAGTAGTAAAATGACGCCATCATGCAAATGGCATATATTCAAAACGGTCTTTTTGGATTTATGAGACGTCAACAGGTAGATACGACGGAGCGTGCGCACTTTCCATGAAGTGTTCAACGGTATATGACAATTATGTTTACCTGGAGTAGATTCCAGTTCCTCCCGCTCTGCGCAGTCGCACGAGTCACAGATTGACAAGCAGCGCCCAACACCGCTATCATGGGATTTCTGAAGTACAGGGAGTTATACAGCACATCGGTTGCGTGCCCTGGGTCACACTGAAGCAAACGAAATAGTACTTATTTACCTCGTACTTTGACCCAAATCCCGTGACTAACAACAATTTCAGTTCTCCTAACAATATCAGCACATGATACATGATCAAGAAAAGATTATGAGCAGTGATAAAATGATCACCAAAGGAGAAATGCTTTAAACTTTTATAACATTCTCTTCAGTGATCCTTTGGGGAAACATGTGGGGATCCGTTTGAAGAATTTGTTTGTGGACCCTGGGTCTGAGGGTTAAGAGAGAAAGTGGTCACACTTGAAATCCCGGGGGGGGTACTGCCATATATGGGCTATATAGGTATGTGCCGCTGTGAAGGGTATGGTTTTCAAGCAGTTTACTCTAGGATAGGGTATATAAATCAGAGCGTTTGGGTCTAGAATGTCTAGAATAGGGTATCATTTTTCAGGAAACTGATCATTTGGTTGAAGATTTTATCTAGACTAGGTAAACAGCTACTCTAGGATAGGGGGATTTGGGGAGTTTACTCTAGGATAGGGTAGCAAAATTCAGCTGAACTAGCTCTGGTATAGGTTAAGGGTTCCAGGGTCCCAGCGGCACATCCCCACCCAGAAATTCCTAAAGTACCCCCCCGGACTTGAAATATGTGTGTCTAACAGGTACTTCTTAGAGCAACACAGTCAGGAGATTAAATGACATCATCAAGATGTACAAATTGTGTTTTAGCCGCCTTGCCCTTCAAGGGTGGGTTTTCAAGAAATAAATTGGTGGGAAAATGGTCACTTGTGATCTGGGCCTTGAACGTGATGCTTCATCATCTCTCTATTGATATCAGTGCAATAACTAGTGACAAGTGAGCGATATATTATCACGTGTCAGGAGCACAGACGTCATGGGCTCTTGCAGGTGATCAACTAGAACCATCTTGATCGGCTCATATCGCAAAGGTCGAACGAAAAAGAGCTCTTAGCAAGTAAAAAAACACTGGTGCAATGTGAAGTTACTGAATAATATCTCTTTGTGAAAATAGAATACTTCAAGTGCTTTATTAATGAATGAAGTCCTAAGACTGAGCTCTTACGGACTTTATTTCTGTCCGTTGCGTTTTTTCATAGCTCGGTTTCCTTAAGAGTGGTACTTAAAAAAAGTAGCCACTAATGGGTTAGAAAATTAACTACCGCATCAAAGGGGGGCAATTATTCGAGGGTGGCGATTAATAGAAGGGCGGCTATTATTCGACAGATATTCTTTCTGAGGAGAAATGATGCTGATGCATGAAACAAACCCAACAATAACTATTAAAGTATTGTGACAGCGGGTCCGATCCTAATGAATATTCTATGTAATAGATAGAGAAGTGTCCTCAGTTTTCGGTTATTTTAGTTCGAAACTTCTCGCAGGACGGAATTAACAAATAATTCATGACACAGTGACCCAGAAGCTCAGTTATTAGTACTAAATTTTAAAACGTGGATTTTGATACAAAAAGCTTAGAGAATGGGCAAATAAATGTGATCTAATCGCCTGCCGTAGTTCCGCATACAAACAGTATAGTCACGTTCATATCATTTATACGAATATGAATTACCAAAAATAAAGTTACAGCCTATTCGCGTGAGCGTGGGATGTTTTCGTACGAGTACACCGTAATTTTCAGCCATCGCCTTTTCCCAGTTTTACCTAGTCTGGCAAAAAAAACACTATTCTCCACGTGCCATCCACTGTAAAGAATGTTATGAATAAAAATTGCAACTTTTGACAGCCTTTGTTGTTAACAATACAAACTATAGGAAAAATGTTTGGTCTTAATAAGTCGTAGGAGGTTTTCTGACGATTGTTAAGTCGCTCTGTCGAAGGTTTTTTTCTCATAATTACTTTTTTTTTGTTAGTCTGCGTCTTAGGAATAACTGAACTCATTTCCAGAAAAGCTGAATTCTCAAATGGTTCGTGTTTATTTTTCATGTTTCCATGTAAGCTTTTATCTATTAAAAGACATTGCTAAACATCACCGAGCCCAGTACTAAACCATTTACTGAAATCGTGGTATACAATCAAGACTATTAAATAAAGTTTTAAGAACACGAAAAACCAAAGAGACGTTTCGGAAGTATTAAACCACAGGCACTAAAGTCATCTGCGGCGAACTGAGTTAAGTGTCACCGAGGTCAAGGAATAGCAATCGAAGCACTCAAAGGAATGTTAAATGGCACGAAATGGGACTTACATTTGTTTGTTAAAGCGACTTATGAATTATAGTAAGAATCTGTAAGACTAAACTGTTTGAAAATTGCTTTCCAAAAAATAAAGAAACAGCACCAAGTGATTTTCAATGGAGGTCTCCTGAGCTAAGCTACATGCTAAAAAAAAACCAGCTAGTTTTCAGAGAGTGAAATACTATTTTCTGCTAGTGTCTCTGGCGTTCACTTACAAGAAAAATAAGAGATTACTCTCATTCAATGGCTTTGTGATAAGGAGCAAGAAAATTGTCCTGTGAACAATAACGTCTTTAGAAGCACGATTAAGTTTGTAGAATGCAGATAATTATAAATACCTTTGTGTCATTCCAGAACAGTTGAAGTTGATACCCCGGTAAAACATCTGATCGATTATTGATCATGTTTATGGCTTCCTCACTGATGTCCAGAAGCGATTTTCCATCCCAAGCAGTTGAAGAACCGGTAATTGGAAATAAACCTCCGATATATAACGTCTTTATATCATCAGCAGAAACCAGAGATGATCTGGTGGAGAAACAGGAAAGAAGAAGGAAGACGGCACCGGCAGAAGGCCAAGAGAATTGCTTCATCTTTCACCTTCCTAAGAAGTTGGGTGCTCTGTTTTCAGTCGACATTGAAGTTTATAAGTTTCTCAGCAAGACCCTTTCAGGGAAACCAGTCTCTAAGATGGCAACAAAAACATTGAAGGCGTCCTATGTGCGCTAAAAGCTCCATATTGACGTAGGAAATGCATGGGCAATCATCCTTTCAAGAAGCACTTAAAATAGTTTGTGTGTTGTCTTTGGTTAGCAGTGGGTCCGCAGGAGATTTACATATTTTGAACAATCGTCATAATCTGTTCTTACAATTACCCTAATCTGTTCGTGATGAGTAAATTAACTACTGTTGGAGGGATGATACAGACTTCTAGAAGAATTAGCTCGGATTGACTTGAGATCAATTTAGGCAATTGACGAATTATTAGCAACAAAAAAACGTGCGCATTTTCAGCGCTTGAGCGCCAACTATCAATTATTGCGACAGATTAATTTTGTTTGCCTTCAAACGTCAGGTTAATTCTATCTTAATTAACATCACCAAATTATTTTCAAACGTAAAGGAAAGAGCGGGAAATTAGATAAAACCGTATTCCTGAACAAATAAACTCTCCACAATAATTCCACGTCAACCTTCCTTAAGCCGGGATCATCAAAAGCCGCAATAAGAAGCCTTCATTTTTTATCATTCAAGACGTGATAACCAACGCGATTATCTAACAAAAACAATTTTATTTGTTTGTATAGTTTCATTTGCATCTGTTGTAAGAAATCTGATTAAATTTGATACTTTTTTATTCAACGAATAAAAAAAATTCACAAAATCGAAACTGAACAAGGGAGTTGCCTTGGGTAGTACACAACTGCATTGGGTCACGCGGCAAAGGGATGACTGTATAGCGTTGTAGTGCTTTAAATAGATGTAAATATGGTTAACTGATCAAGATTTTTGTTTACCAGTAAACTTTGTGGAGGTTTCTTAAAACAAAGTGTTTTGCTGAAAAGGTAATTTTTACGAGCAACCGAGCGGGGCTTGAGCAAAGACATTTTTGAGCAACACTCGTCATCCGGAAGTAGACTTTTTGCATTCGTGCAGTGGGCAGTGATTTTGCCCAAATGTTCGGGAGATCGTCTCCTAAGAGTAAAGACATTTAACAATACAAAATTGGTAGCGTTAAGGAATACTAGTATCATATTAAAAGGAAAATGGCCTCACTAGCTTCCAGTTGACGTACGTCGCTCAGCTCCCTGTTGGAGTTTTACACCGTAGCGAACATCAGCGACCATGTTCGGCGCTAGTCTCCTATAATGTATATTGTCCATAATGCGAAAAAAGGTTAGCCTGTTCTAGGCTTCCAGATCTTAAGGACCGCGCAAAAAGATGTGAGCAGGAAAAACAGCAAAACCTGGAAGAGGCTAAAGAGAGGTCGAGTGGACTTGTAAGTTGTTTGACATATCACAACTGATCTGGGCTTTTATGTTCAAAACAAATAGGCGATTCATCAGGGCACTGAATCATTAAACGTAATTCTTCAGCTTGATTTTTTCGTAAATTGCTCTAATTCTCCGAACAAAGCATTGATAGCAAAGAGGAATAGCGTTACTAAATACTTTTTTTCCGAACCTCTATGTAAAACAGAAACACTCAGTTTCCAGGAGAAAACCGTCAGAGCTCAGTTTGAGTGTCATCAACGATCTACCGGCGATCGGAATGATTGTCAAAACAAGCGAGTTTTAGATTTCCTGTTTTTCTTTTTAAAGTTAAATTGCTAAAACTCCGAAAGTCTATTTAGATTGAAAGCTCATCAGTATGAGTTATTTTCCGTCAGCACTTAAATCTCTGTTAGCCAGCGTGTGGAAGTTCTTAGGTCAGCGGACGAAACTTAAACGCAAAAATGACTGCTAAAGATGTCAAAATCAAGCCAAAATATTCTTCAAGACAGATATCGCTGCATAATATTAATCGAACTTCAGTTTCCCGAAATTTATTTTTAAAAGCGTTGTTTTATTGAAACGAAAACGCTGACGTCTTGAATAATGAACCAAACCGAGGTTAGGTTAAACACGTTTGAAATTTATATTTCGGTAACTACTACGTACACTTGACTTCTACAAGTAAAACTTTTCCATAATGAAAGGCGATATAAAAATTTTACAGCCCTTTCCCTTATTTATAATCACTGGCAAAATTAAAGGGACTGGCTAGAAATTTAACAGTAAAAACATAACTACGAACCAATGGATTCAATACCCGCATCTCTTAAAAGTCTTAAATAAAGAAACTGATAACAGCCAACTGAACCTTACAGCGAAGAAAAGGTCAGACAAAGCAAAATCTAACTGAAACAAAAAAAAAACATTTTTATTTTGTTTTGTTTTGATCCTTTCAGTTTTAGTTTTAGTTCTTTCTCGTGAGGATCACTTTGTTGCTAATTGCATGATCGGTTTCCTCACTTGTAAAATTAGAGTCCAATGTCACACATAGGATGTGCTTGCACCTGACGGTTTGTCCCTCATGGTAACATTGTCTTTGTCTTGTAACGAAACAAGGATCTTTAAAAGTAAATCTTCCATGCGAGTTAGTTTGGATTCCAGTTGTTCCAAAGTTTGCTTGTCTGGCGTGAACAATTCTTCTTGATCAGTGTACTGGTCACCAAAACCGTCGCTTCTATGTGCACGAGGAGTGTTACCTGAAACGAAACTACCCATCCCCCGCCTTTGCGGAGCTTTCCATTCTTGGTCATTTTGGACAGCCATGGTAATCATTTCAACATGGTCTTGATCTTGGTCTTTCTTCATGGAATTTTTAGTTCCCTTGAGATAGAGATAACATCTTAAAATGTAACAAATTCCACTTTGGGGGATGTTAACGTAAACGTGGGACAGTGAATGACCGCGGAAACATAAAATGAAAAAGGGAAGAAAACAGAGAATTTGATGAAGTTACTGATGGGACTTGAGTTTGAGGTTTTGTTCCCATTTTTCTTTTTCTGTTTTTCCGTGATTGCTCCCCGTTCCTTGTTTTAGTAACATCCAAAATATTAAAAAACAGCAAGTCCGCAGTGACAAACCGTTGAGTAGTGCCGGATCTCCCAATTGTAGACCTCGGGATCATTGCAATAACAACTAGTATAAAATATAAAATTGCAAACTGATCCCTACGGCAAGGTGTTGAACAAGTAAACAAAGGAATAAAACCAAAAAATATTTAAACAGCTTTGCCCATTATTTCGGTTTGAAAACAAACCTTCTTCAGGGGCTAAAAGAAAAATGAAACTCGTTACTAAAAATTGTTTTGAATTAGTAACGTCCACTTTGGAGAAAGGTACGATCTAATACAACCCCTAATCTCCCCACCTTAGTCGCCAAAAAGGCGATAAGAAAGCAGTGCCAACAAAAAGCTAACAAAAAGACAGGACTATCTTTGCCGATCATGGTTCCTGGCTATACCTTCAGGTTTCACAAACACTTTCTAAATCAGATAATCACAACCCAGCACAGGAACGAGTTGTATACTTGGGTAATCGTGTGCAATTGGCTCAATGCTACTATTAACAACTCGATGGAAAAAAAATTTCATTTTTGAACATACCATTTTAGTGGAGCTCAGGTTACACGACAGCTCCATTTCTTCCAAAATACGCTCTTTAATCTCAGGGTACACTTTCATAACTTCCGCAAGGTCCCGCCAGGAGATCAGATGAACCTGGCAACTAATCTTAGCGACCAGGCTTACACAAGCCTTAGAATAGCAACCACGTGGCAACATGCTGCATCCAAGCACATCCCCAGCTCCTAAAAAGAGTCAAACTATCAGAGATTGCCCTGGCTTTGGTCTGTCTGAATTTCCTCGAATAAGCGCCCACCCCAAAAGCCATAATAGAGATCCTCTACGACGATTACGACAACGAGTACAAACTTTTCTCAGTACTGAGTAGTGCGCGCGCGTGAGCCAGCGCCATTTTGGCGGGAAAATGTGATAGCCGTCGTCGTTCTATGACGAGTTTAGAGAAAATCTCGTAGTGCCGGGAAACAAGTCATCAAAGTTAACAGTATTATTGGTTTACGATCGAGAGAGAGCTTAACCTCCTCCAATAAAGACAAGTGCTAACGTTTCAGGTGAAAAAAAGTAAAATAATTCATTCCTGGGTGTCTATTTTTTTACAAAAGGCCAAAAAAAAACCTTAAATTAAATCTCGTACTCAAAGTCCTTATCGTTCTCCAATCTAAAGGTCTCTAATATCGAATAAGGGCCCCCTCACCGTAACCTCACTTTTTTAGATGATGGGAAAACAAGAGGAAACATGCAGTTTTCAAAGTGTATGGACTATGGTATGCTTGATTATCAAGCACTGTTTTGACAAACGAAAGACACTAATATTGATTTTGCGTTTGCATGGATGATTTCCCAGTTTTTGGTTTTTAAAGGAGGATGTGATAAGCGTCCCCTTGATTAAGCGCCTTCCTCCCAATAAGCGCCCCTCCTTTTAGCGAAAATTTAAAATAAGCGCTCGGGTGCTCATTCGAGGAAATACGTTATTTGATGTCATTGCCATGTAATTCATGATCTTGAAATTGAGCGAGCTTTAATTCAGTTTTGTCTGGCCTACCATAGAATCTATATCACCGGTAGCCAAGTAGCTGAGCCTGATGCTTTTAAAGTGAGTGACTGACTAAAATTAATTATAAAGACAGCGCGTGAGAGTTAGGTGAGCTGTCTCGTTATTCGCGCTCTACCCTCGTTTACTAAACGGTCATGCAGGTTTAATTTTCATGGGTCGTGGGAAAATCACGAGAAAGAAGCAGTTTTCTGAATAACTAGTGGCTCATCATAACGATAAAATAAATTCCTTTCGATAGAATATATTCTTGTTATTGATGCTTATTGTCGTGACCGCTTTATACTGCAGGGTCTAGTTAGTCAAAAGTAATCTCGTACCCAGATCTCACTCTGTTTTACACTAAAATCTCCCTTTCGCTTGGCCGTGGGAGATCTGGGTAAGAGATTAGGTCAAAAGGTGGATAGCGCTATTCACTCGATAAATCTTTAATTATTCAGTGGATAAGTATTAGGAAAACCTATTGCGTTATCCACTGGATAGAGATTTTCCAGTGGATAGCGCTATCCACCTTTTGACTTGACCAACTGGGGCCAGCTGATTAATCTTACCTAAACATCTCCCACACTGATTTCCGTTCATCACGTTGACACTGCCGGACACGATAAAGAACAGCTTGGTTACCACGTCTCCTTCTTTTATCAGATAATGT